AGCTAAGTTGCTACAGTTTTTTTGCAGATTATGTATAATGGTCCACTTGTTCAAATCACTTTTACCCAGTTTTATCTTTGATTGCACAAGCCCAGAGTCTGTTTAGGAAATGATTGTGGATGCAAAAGTGTATCTACTGCAAGAGCAAGCCAAATATTTTATGGATCTTTTTCCAATGCAACAATAAAACATAATATAGCCATAAATAGTAATCTTTTTCAAATGCAACCATAAAACATAATATAGCCATAAATAAATGAGGATTTGGACAAATGTTTGAATGCTTGTGTATAAAAAAAGACTTTTAATATATATTAAGTTTAGAATTATTTGATACCAGATTTTGCACATATATTAAATGTTTAACAGGTTTGTAAAAATTTTAAAAATCATTATGAAAGTTTTAAAATTTATTTTAATTATTTAAAAAAATGATGACCATTTTATCTAATCAACTTTGAAATTAATAATCACTTTTGAACAGAAAACAAAACTTAAAGTTATAATTATATTTGGGAGTTATAATACACATAATATATAACTAATAATATAAATATTTAATAGAGATGTGCCTGAACCAGTTTATGCCAAGTCCTTGATTCAGGGTATCCAGAAGCAAATAATGGATTAGAGTCCAGGTAACTGGCCCCAGATCCATTTTAAAAATTGGAATAGAAGCTTGTGAAATTATTAGCGCTAAATTGTTTTTGCAAAATAATGCTGATTAATTTGTGCTAATTAAGTTTGTTCAAATATATTAAGTTCCTTTTTAATAAACAACTATATTTATCCTCAAAGTCACAAATTTAAATTACACAAACTAAAGTGTTAACTTGATGTCCATAAATATTCTTTCTTCCTCAGGGTTGTTAAAGCCAAAAACATCAAGAGCTTTAAAATTAAAGCTAACTCAATCTTAACTTTAAAAATATTTTTCCGGCTAACTAATTTTTGTTTTATAATTGTAGCATTATTTATAATATATACTTTTTTGTAACTAAACACTAAATAATCGCTAATATGTGCTAGCTAATCAAAAGTAATGTAAGGAAAAATAAAAGATTTAAAGATATATTTACTAGATAATATTATAAGATAAACTTTTAAAAAATTGTTTATGATAAATGTGTTAGACCTCTCACATGTTTATTGTAAACATTTGTTTACTTTAAACTATTAAAAACGTTTAGTTATTGTAAACAAAAACTGTATTCAAAAGTGATTTACGCAACTCAATTATATTATTTAAGAATGGTCACACACAAGGAATGAACGCCTGAGGACTATTAAAAACATTTAGTTATTGTAAACAAAAACTGTATTCAAAAGTGACGCAACTCAATTAGATCAAAGTATAAATCTCATTCAAAGTAAATTACTAGAAATTCTGTGAACTAATTTTCTTGCACAATAAAAAGAAGCTATTCAAATTTTTTATTTATTTATTTTTTTTCTTTCTTTTGCATTCTCTCTTATTATTTCATTTTGTTGTTCTGATTTTATATCCATATAAATCCTTTTGTACTCTGATTATTTTTCAAAATTATATTTTTGTAAATATTTTAAGTGAGACACGTTTATATTGAGTAAATGGGACTTTATGGTTATCGACTCCATAACACTCATAGACATATGATCAAGTAGTTTATTGGTTGAAGTTTAAATTTAAAAATAAAATCCTATTAACAATATTTCGACATAATTTAAACTACCACTAAAACAAACAGTTACAGCACTTAAGGTTAATTTTTATAAAAAATAAAATTTAAGATATCCAGTGCCAGGTAGGGGAGATTGGGGCGCATTGATCGCCATTGCAGTATTTTGAAAACTGCAAACAACCTGATCTAGATATAAAAACTTATTAATTACTAAACTAAACTAGAACAATCTGTCTTTAAGTAAAGAAAAATGTTTTAATAAAAAAGATTGATGAACATGGTGTATTTCAACATTACAACAACCCTTGCAAAAGATCAATGTACCCCATGCAACGGGGTACTATGATCTCCGATATGGGGCGCTTTGATCTTATATGAGTAACATTATTTACATTTTTAATACTGCTATACCTAAGTGCTACAAATGCATTAGTTGAAAGGTATTAGTGTATATTATATAACACATCTAAAAAGAAGTAAAATTTAAAACATATATATATATATATATATATATATATATATATATATATATATATATATATATATATATATATATATATATATATATATATATATATATATATATATATATGTATGTATGTATGTATGTATATACATATCATTATAACCTGATACACACCAGTGTATAATTTTTTCATTAGAAGAATGACCACAATTCTATCTATGAAAATAAGCCCGTTATATACTACTAACATATATATGTGTTAAGTTTTACAAAACTTAAAGCTTATAAAGTCTATAAGAATACAGTATTTTAAGTTTTCAAAGAAAATACAAGATTCATACAAGACTTTTATTAGAACTAAAGTTTACAAGATTATTTTTTTATATTATCATCTTTTGTCAAAGTCAAGTCATAATGCTGCTTTTACATTACATTGTTTTTTGTTCCGAAGCAAGTAGTTTTTAACTTCTCCCTTTTTTTTTATCTTTTGCAATGAGTTTCTTTTGTTGGTTGATTTGTTTTAGGGTTTTCTTTTCTTCTGACAAACGAACTTTATTTCTGATTGGAGTATCAGTCAAAATCCTTGTTTTTAATTGCCTACTTTTAACACTTCTTTTTCTAGCAGATGCTTTCGGGTAAGTTTTCAAAACTTCAGGTGAGAGTAATGAAGCAATGCTTGGTGACACTTTGTTTGAAAAACTTGTTTCATGATGTACTACGGGCATTTCAGGCTCCATGCCATCAACATGTGCTACAATCATTTCAGGCTCCACAAGAATTGTGTTTACTACATTTGGAGCAGCACGACCTGTAACTGATGATGTTAAATATTCATCATCTTTAAAAAATTCTGGATTAAATGGCTCAATGCCAGCTAATTAAAATTCTCTCTGTATATTAGTTGGTGAGAATGCTTTTGTCTATGGTTCGCGAACTATTGAAACAATATCATAAATGGTTATAGGTCTTGGATTTGTGACCATCCAATTATCACACGCAGCATTGTAAAACCATTTCAATGGTCCAAAAACAGTTTTATCCAATGGTTGCAATTTATGGGTACAATGGGGAGGAAAACTTAGCATTGTAATTCCATGATGAATTGAAAGATCCAAAGCTCTAACAGAAATATCACTTTTATGGCTGTCCAGAAGTAACAAAACTGGAGATTCATGAGAACAGTTTGAATTCCTCACAAAATGTTTTATCTATTCTATAAAAATCTCTGAATTCATCCAACCAGAAGGATTTGCAAATCCCACGCATCCAGGAGGACCTTCTTTTATCATGTAATCATGAAATTCGACCCTAGGAAAAACAAATAGTGGAGGAATAGAGTTTCCAATTGCATTTAAAGCACAACATACAGTTACTAATGTTCCTCGTTCTGCAGATATGATTCTTCCTACTTGTTTACTTCTTTTATCAGCTAACAATTTTACTGGCTTTTGTACCGTTGTTAAACCAGTTTTATCAACATTATATATGCAATAAGGATCAAACTTATATCGATTTCTTACTGTTTTTGTCGGTTAAAGGCAGTTGATCAAGCAAAACTAGTTGCTTCAGGTGTTCGTAATGACAACTCTGGTTGTCTTTTCATAAAACCTTGCAACCAATCAATCCCTGCAAGATTATTCTTGATCCATGATGAAGGGCAGATCTTATTACTTTTTACAGCAAACTCATATGCCAACAATTTTTGACTTTTTTATTTAAAAATGTCCATTTTAAAGTCCATAGTTCATTTTTGATGCAAGTAGTAAATAACTTGACAAACTTTTTTCATGTTCTGCAGTAAAAACTTGTTTATTGTTGTAATTAGGCTTAAAAGATTCATTTGGATTGAGCTTCTTTTTATTACAATATCTTTTAAAAGTCATTTGATTTATGCTAAACTTGCGAGCTACAACATTCACTTTTTTCTATACCTAATCATTTAAAGATCTGAAAATTAAAAAAAAAGTAAAATAAAATGATTGTTTAAAAAAAATATTTTAAATAATAATATTATGTAAACTAATTGTAAAACTTATGTAAAACTAAAAACTAATGTTATTAATATTAGTTTTTAACACTATTACATTTTAAAAATGAAATTTTGAAAATTTATATAAAGATTTTTAATTCGTCATAAGTTTAAATGTATAAAATTTAAACAAAAAATTTAAGTCTTATAATATAAGTTATATGGGGCACTTTGATCCTCCAATCAACGAACCCCGCATAGTCAACGATCAATGTACCCCATTAGGTACAGTTAATATAATGATGCCAATAACTTCTATAAATACAGTAACCAACTCAAAAAAACAAATTTACTATAAACTTAACACATATGAGTTTACAATAAATTGGTTGTAAAGTCATACGGAAATCTAATTAAAATTTTATTTGAATTTGATTACAACTTTCAAAAATCACTTTTCATGATGAAAAACTGTCTTTTCAATTTTCTTAACGCTGAAGTTGATCTTATCAAAAATTATTACGATTAAGCAATGAAGGGTAGTATAATGGTTAATTAAATTGCAATCTCTGTTAAATTAAGGCAAAAGTAAACAAGTAAAAGCTAAAAGATCATACTGCCCTGGCAATCAATGCGCCCCCATCTCCCCTACTGCAACAAAATCATTGATTCCAGGTACCCAGGAAAACTGCCAAATTACAGGTTTATAGGTTTGAACCGGGTACACAGGACATCACTAATATATAACTATAATATATAATAATCATTTATAATATTTAAAAATCATCATTATATATAATTATTAATAAAAATATTATTGAACATTACGTATTACACAACATATTACTAAAAATATTATTATTAGCACATTATAACATAAATTGAAAATAAAATAACCTATTACCTGCAAAGCAACGCGTCGTTCATGTAAAAATGTGCTATCCATATTTCCAAACTTTTTTTTTGGAGGTAAAACAAGCTCTGTACCGCTCAAATTCATCTAAAATTGTTAAAATTTAATATGTTATTGTTTTAAATATCATAACAACATTTTAGGCAAAAATTGAACCACTCGTTCAAAATAATTGTACCATATTTTTTAAAGATTTTCTGTATTTAAATGTATTTATGAATTTCTTGATTTTGTGTAATTTTTTATTTTAAACAACTAAATTCTACTAAAAGGTATTATACCATTGATTGAGTCAGACAAAAATTGAGTCAGTACTTTCAAAGTGATACTCAGGGAGCTTAGAAATTAGAGCTTAGACTTGGTAAACTTCAACTTTTTTTATAACAGGCACATTAAAAAAGAATTTAATGCATACATCCACTAAAAGTTTCGGTTTGAGCAAGTCCAATCTAGATATGAAGAGCATTTATCTTGACAAACAAAAGTTTTATATTATTTATAATTAAGTTTTAACTGTTTTGATTAATGGAAGTTAATATTTCAAGTTAAACAACACTTTTGTTAAATAACAATGATAGAGAATAAATATAAGCTAGTTAACTTGCATCGTTTTAAGGAGCCTTTTAATAGAAAGTATAAAAAATGATTTATGTCAGACAAGGTATGTAATTAATGAACAATAAAAAAAAAATAAAGTTAATTGAGAACAATTGTTTTATTTAGATGAAAAAAACAGAGTCATTTGTATATCAAAGCTGTTCATTCAAAAGTTAAAGAAAATATTTTTTTTCAACTTTAGTCAGATGTTCACTGATTTTGATTGTTCTCCAGATGTTCACTGATTTCAATTGTTCTCCAGAATTATTAAATTGTTATTAAATTTAAAAATCTTTTTTTATTTATTCTTATTTATTCAAAACATCTTTTACATTTTTACTGCTATTTATCATAAGTTAAAAAAGTTAAAAAAAAAAAGATAAAGTACAGTCACAATAACTATTATAGAAAAATATTATGAATAAGAATATTTACACTATAAACACTATAAAAAGGACTTGGTGACTAAGGAGAGGGTATAAGGATGTCCCCAATATTGCAAAAATGCTCTGTAAATTTATTCCTGGCTAATGTCCTGGATACTTACAACTATCTTCTCTCCACTGTAATCAATCATGTGACAGCCTGTAGTATTGGGGAACTTTAACCCAAACAAAGTGTTTATTTCTAATCATCATTGCAATAAATAAATAAATAAATACTACTATATTAAATGAAATTTATTGTATTTATTGATGAATGTCAATAGACTTATTGAATCATCCAGTTCATGTCTTCTTTGATTATCTAATTGATTCTTCTTTTTTGATTATCTTCCTACTGACAATTCAAAAGACATTCAAAATTTTATCATTCAAGACTTTATTTTGATTTCGAACAATTTTTATTGGTTAGCAAGTTAGAAATTTTATTTTCTATAGGTTTGATTTATTACATCTTCTAAGGACAAGGAAAAACTATTAGCAAAAAACTATTTATCCAAGTAATATCTTAAATCTAATGACATTACTTGTCTTGACATCCCAAAGAAACAAGTTAATTCGTTATCAAGTTAATTTATTAACTCTTCTATAGTTTGTTTTATTACATTTCTGTCACTATTTTACAAAAGTGTTCTCTAGAATTTTTTTCAATACTCTTTTAACTAAATAATAAGTGCTTAACTAAATCTTGTTTTCATGCTTCCTGGAATCATGGAATCTTAGTTTCAACTTTTTTAAACTTGCCCAATCAGTCTTCCTATTTATCATTAGTAAAGTCTTTAATTTTTAATTAACAAATTCCTGATATCTGATTTTGAGTTAAACAACTTACTCCCTGACAGTCTCTTTGACAATCGATACAACTTTTGATCTTTTTATTGCTAACTTCTACTGTTGATCATTTTAACTGAAAGGATGTATCATTTATTTAATGGAAGTGATTAGGCAACTGAAAGGTTCTTTCATGTATTTAATGATAGTGATTCAGCAACTAAAAGTTTCTATTATGTGGAAATGACTATCTAATGAATATCTAATGGAAATGACTAGGCAAAGGCAATTGTTCCTGACAGGTCTGAATGTTGCTGGCGTCCTCCATAAGCTCTCTTCATATGGTTTATCTGAGAAATTTTTCGAAATAATCTGATATATATATATATATATATATATATATATATATATATATATATATATATATATATATATATATATATATATATATATATATATATATATATATATATATATATATATATATATATATATCAGATTATTTCGAAAAATTTCTCAGATAAACCAAAAAATATTTGATAATCTTATTTAGAGGTGTCGTGAATAGTGATTTTGCCCAATACCTAATACTTGTCTAGGTGTTCAGATTAATCAATGAATATTTGGCGATACTAAGTTATTTTGTTATTATATTTAGTTATTGCGAGTGTTACATCAAATAGTTTACTCTTCAAATCATTAAAAAAGATTACAAAAATAACCATTTCTGGGTTTCAGAAGTTGCTATAGATAGATATTGCACAAAAAACTACACAAAAAAAAGATATCCTGCCTACAACCTGAACTTAAAGCATGGTTTAACTTTAATGGAGATGTCAAATATACGATTGCCTATTTTATTGAATCATGTTCCAAAACTAATTTCAAGGGATTAGTTAAAATACAGCCAGCAAAGCAAACAAAAAATATTAACACTCTGAGAATGATTGTAATGTGTGTAACAGATCACAATCTTTCTTAGAGTAAACATTAAGTTAGTGAAAAGTTCTTCTCAATGAATAGCTTAACAATGATGAACAGTGTCTAGTAGCACTAACAGGGCCTATTCTAGGGAAAAAAATTTGAACGACGGTACCCCCTTTGTCCCAGCAAAATTTAGCAGAAAATCTGTAATTTATTGCGAAACAATATATGCTATAAAAAACATTACAAAATAAAAAGTTCTCAAACTTTACTTTAGGCAGAAATCAGCACCCAAATACGATTGACACTGTCGAAAACACTGTCTAGAAAAGCCCCTGACTAATGATAATTTATCCCCACTTGAATCAATCACAAAATAATTAAACCAATCTCTACAAAAAATATGCACAAATGTTGCAAAAAAAAATCAAATTGCAAATGGAATTACTTTTACATTTTAACCTTACAAGTTGTGTTAGAAAATGCAAAACATCCTAACAGAACTTGCTAAATATATATATATATATATATATATATATATATATATATATATATATATATATATATATATATATATATATATATATATATATATATATATATATATATATATATATATATATATATATATATATATATATATATATATATATATACAGTAGCATCCAAAAGTTTGCGGACAGGCAAAAAAATAAGGAATTTTACTTAAATTTCAGCACATATTTCACTAAAGCCAACATATTATATACCAATTAAAAGGTTTCCAATTTAGCAATTATGTTTTGAGCAAATAATGAATATTTAATTATCATTTTAAAATTGGTTAACAAAATGGCGATTTTTGATAAGTTCAAAAGTTTGCGGACAAACTAACGCTTTTAACATTTTCACCACAAAATAGCTAATTTGTTGATTTTATAAACAAATACTTTGTGGAAATAATTTCAAAACTTTATATATAAGTGATTGAGATCATGGGATCTAAGAAATGTATTTCATCTCCAGTAAAAAAATTGATCTTGAGATCAGTTCAGAATGGAAACTCGTTTCGTAAAACAGCACAGCTTTATGGAGTTGGTAAGTCTGCTGTTGGACAAATTATGAAGAGATTTGAGCTTACTGGATCTACAAAGAATAAAAATCAATCAGGAAGGCCACGCAAAACAACGCGTTATTAGGATAAAAAGCTTGTAATACTAAGCAAAGAAAATCCCCGTTTGACAGCTGTCGATTTAAACGTACAAATGAGACGTTTCTATGGAATGAATTGTAGTATTTCTACTATAAAACGTCGTTTATGTTACGCTAATTTGTTTGGAAAACGCCCAGCTAAAAAACCAAATGAAAAAAAACTCCAAAATGGAGTTGGTCCTCTCCATAGAATTACCGAGAATATGAATCAAGAAAAGTACAAAGATATATGTAAGACTATTATGTTACCATACGCAAAGGATAAAATGCCTCGAGGATGGATTTACCAACAGGATAACGATCCCAAAAATACAGCTAAATCGGTTTTAGAGTTTTTTAAAGAGAGTAAAGTTAATGTTTTGAAGTGGCCATCCCAATCACCTGACTTAAATTCCATTGAACATCTATGGGAACATGTTGACCGTCAAATGAAAGGAATTAAGCCTACAAATTATGCTGATTTATTTAATAAAATCAAAGAATTATGGGACTTAATTCCCATTGACGTTTGCATTAATTTATTTGACTCTATGCCTCATAGATGCCAAGCTATTCTTGATTGTAAAGGATATCCTACAAAATACTAATGTGATTTTGCTTTTGCAAAAATTTTGATCAAATATTGTTGAAATATTTTAACTATTTTAAAAAATAATGCTTGGTCCGCAAATTTTTGAACTTATCAAAGACCGTTGATTTGTATACCAATTTAAAAATATTATTTAGATAATAATTATTTGTTCAAAACCTAATTGGTTTTGAACAAATAATTATTGTTTGAAAACCTTTTAATTGGTATATAATATGTTGGCTTTAGTAAAGTATGTGCTGAAATATAATTAAAATGCTTTATTTTTTTGCCTGTCCGCAAACTTTTGGATGCTACTGTATATATATATATATATATATATATATATATATATATATATATATATATATATATATATATATATATATATATATATATATATATATATATATATATATATATATATATATATATATATATATATATATATATATATATATATATATATATATATATACATATACATATACATATACATATAATATATATATATATATATATATATATATATATATATATATATATATATATATATATATATATATATATATATATATATATATATCAGGGTGTTAACCAGCCTGATGGCACCGCTTATAACGCGGTATTCCCATTTTGGTTTCAAATTCCCAAAGGTTCATAAGATCATAGTAAAAAAAAAAAATTTAATCAGTCTCAGATTTTGTGTCGCACTAGACAAGTAAAAAACGCAATTAGAAGCATGGCAAAAAAATGAATTAAATTTATTGATTTCTTTAATGTGTATAATCGTGTCGTCATTAACAAGCGTCCATACATTAACATGATCATTCGTTCAAAAGTTTAAAAAATCTTTTTATTTTAATTTTTATTGACTTCTTCTTGAGTTAAGATTTTTTAAAGTTTAATAAATAATTTTATGAATTTATTTTTATTATTCAAAAACTCTTTATTTATGTTTTTGCTGTTTATCTTAAAGGGATCCCTAAGTGCTATAAAGATATGATCTCATATGAAAGAGCATAAAAAAAAAATGTTTGATGTATATTACTTTTTCTAAAACGTGATAATGAACACACACTAACAAATTTAATTTTCAAAAAAACGCTTTTCTTCGATTAAAAAAAATGCTTCTTGTCCAAAGTTTATTGACTCTATTGCCTCAAAAAACTAACGTTTGTACGTCAAATTAAACAAAGTAGACAAAATGTCATTATTGCAAACTTATTAGTTGGTAATTAAATTTAAAAGTAAAGTCGTTTTTTTTCAACTAACACATAATTACTTACAAGAATAAGTTTTGTAGCATTTTGTGAAAATATATTTGTATATTAAAATTTTTTTTATAATATTAATTTATACATTTGTGTTATAAGGGCAATTCCACGGCTAAAAATGAATAGAAGTCAAATTTTAATCTCTTTTTAGTCAGTTAAAAACAAATGAATATTGACTTAGACACATGAAAGTTTATTTAAAATATTTCCTTAGTAGAAAAATAAATTTATTTCAGTAATTTTTATGGTTTCAAAAGTGACGGTTACTCTCATTTTTCTTGATAAAAAAAATAAATATTGTAAAATGTTAAATTAACATTTATGTTAATTTAACTAAAACATTTTACAAAAATTATCAATCGCTAAAATTTTTTTTTTTTTGCTCTCTCCCCCCCCCTCTCTCTCTTATAGCTCGCGCCAATGTGCGGTAATGGGGAGAAAAAATTATCAGCAATAAATCAAAAAACATTGTCAAAAACTTAATAAAAAATTAGATACCACGTTTTATAATTTATTGTTTTTTGAATAAAGGACTAATAAAAGTTTAAATATAATTAAGTTTTTCATTTAAATGGTTGATGATTTTATTCAATTTTTCTATTTCAAGTTTTCCAATAAAAGATGAAACAAAAAAATTTGGTTTAATAAATCAAATTATACTTCATGTTTAAAATAAGGCTTAAAAACGTTAAAGTAAAAAAATATTAGCATTTTTATACTGTTTGAAAAAAAAACTAATAAAAAAGAATTAACTAATAATATATTAATTAATAATTATTAGAATTAATAATAATAACAATTAATTCTTTTTTATTAGTTTTTTTTTTCAAACAGTATAAAAATGCAAATAAAAGTCAGTAATTTTTTTGCTCTGTTTTGATAAACAAAGATAAAAACCAACTTTTCAACTTTTCGCTTTAACAACCTTGTAAAAATTTTCCACGCAGAGATTTAAGTAATTTAAATTCAAAAATGTTTTACGTTGAAAGAAAATCTCCGCGCGAAAGAGCAAATCATCTATTCATCTATCTATTCAGAATAATAAATTTTGTGTGACGTTCTTTATGATAAAAACATTACTTTAAAGAGTTAATAAAAAAAATGCTAAGCTAGAAAAAAAGTAATTAATCAACCAAAAAAAAAACAAGTCACGAAAAGATTTTTTTTAAGAAAAAACTAATCACAAAAGTGTGTGTAGCAATCGTGATCGCGATACGCTTAATACGAGCCCTGTAAGACTTTTTTATAAGTTCTAAACTATTTAAAACTATTACTTAATAACTTTTTTTTAACGACGTCTTTCAACCAAATGCTATTATACTGTTTTTGCAAAACTAATTAAAAAAACTTGATTAAAACTTAACTATTTAATCATGACTTTTTTTTACTTGAAAATCAAAGTAGATATTCTAAAGTTGTTGTGACGTACTAACGTGATTTTTAACGACTAACAATCGAGTTTCAATGGTGAAAAAATAAAATCAAAATGGAGTTGTTTTTTAGTGATTTCGGCAATTGCTTTTTGTTAGCATGCATTTATTATTACAATTTAGTGAAAAAGAAAAAAAACTTACATATTTTTTTTTTATGCTCTTTCATATGAGATCATATGTTAGGAGCACTTAGGGATCCCTTTAAGTTAGTAAAGTTACAAAGAAATTTGCATAATAATGAATATTATACTTTAAAATAAGTTAATAACGCTTTTGTAATAAAAGATTTATTAATACTCTCAGTAAAATAAGTTAGCAGGTAAAGTAAATTGAAAATAACAACAATAACAATCAAAAATAAAACTTGCAATGAAACGTATTATCTATGTTATAATTACGTAAAATGTAAAAGAAGATAATTAAATAATATTATAATATTATTAATTATTAACCAATATTTATAAATACAAAATTCTTTTTTTAATTTACAAATACAAACTTTATGTAGATATTTAATGAATGTAATGTAAATTGAAAAAATATTAATAATAATAATTTTGTATTTAAATACATTTTTTTAATTTAAATACCTAATTTATTAGATATTTATAATACGCCAATTAAATTTAGTTGCTGCCCTCATGCGGTGAAAGAATCTCGCTTTGCCCCCTATATGTCTTTGTTACTTATTTAAATTAAAGTAGCATATTGTAACAAAAATTCTTTTAACAAACATTATATTTGACGGAAATCGGCAAGCCAACCAAGTTTTTTTAACTTTCATTTAAAAGCTATTAATTTAAAGAAGTTTTTAAACTGTTAAATTTATCTAATGATAAAAGTTTAACATTTCTGAAAAGTTTTTTAAGTATTTTAAAATACTAAAGTATTTAAATAGTTACATAGTCAAATATATTTCTTCAGAACTAATCATTTAAACCTTTTAAAACTGTATTAAAAAAGCGATGTACGCAATTAATCTAAATCAAAGTTTCAATAAAATTTAACAATACATTCATTAAAACAGCAAACAATTGTCTTTAGTTCTTGTTTTCTCTCTTCTTTACTGCAGCCATTTATCAAAGCATCTTATGTAAAAAAAATTTGACTTTCTTTAGCAAATAAGGTAGTTTAGATGTCTACAAACGTTTTTGAATACATATTTTTAAAGAGTCCAAAAAAAATTCATAAAAACTATTAGTTTCAAAATGCGTTTTACAAAGAGTTTATCCAAATAATTTTTTTTAATTACATTTTTCTTGAAATACATAATGAGCCTATTAAAGCCTATAAAATGGGACGAGCTGGGTATTTAGAATTAAAAATTCATAAATTAAAAAAATAATCCTGCTATAACTATAACACCCAGCAAAAAAAGAACATTTATTTTGTTTAAAATTTAATCATATCTAAAAAATGGAAATATAGTAGCCTTTTTTTTTTAGCCGCATCTAAATTCCCAAATTTGCAAAAACGCTGTATTAAATTTTTTCCTGAGTAACACCCTGTATATATATATATATATATATATATATATATATATATATATATATATATATATATATATATATATATATATATATATATATATATATATGCATAATTTATGAGGAATTTGCAATCATTTGCTATTATTAAAAGGATGAAAATTTTTTCTATCATAACTTACCACCTATAAATTTCAAGTATCAAATATCCTAAATAGTTGTTAAATAAAAAAAAAAAAATAGTTATATGTGATTTGTTTTTATGCATATTTTTCTTTGCAATCTGGTATACATTATTTGACCAAATAGTTTGCAATATTGGCCAAATATGGAATAGTAAAAAAAGTAGCCAATTAGGTTAAATACCTAACAGTAACTGAATATTCATGACATCTCTAATTTTATTCACTTATGTGGCTAAATTTTAATTCTTATTTACTTTATTTTATTTCTTTTCTAATTATTTTTCACAATTAACCTCTCACAGTAACCATATATACACAATCCATTAAAAATCAAATGTATACAATCAAATGTAAAGTTAGCATTAGCTGTTAGGCCTTTTTCTTTATTGTGCTTGTCATTTTCTTAATCCTCGTTTCATTTTCTTCCTCTTTAAACCTCTTATCTGCCTATGTATATCTTCTAATGATGCCCTTTTTCTTTGAATTAAGGTTCAAAAGCTCATTGTCAATGTAGTTTATGAGTTTCTGCCATTTATGAGTTTCTGTCATTTATGAGTTTCTGTCATGTTGTTGTAGAGTTGCTCTTTCTCTCTTTTTTTTTAAATAATGTTTAAACAATCAATTATTTTGTGTTACCAAAATTCAATACTGCATGATCACGATTGAGCAAAGTTGTATCCGCTTATTATCTTTTTTATTATTATCATTTTATTCTTTTCAATCTTTTTTTCAAATAAGGGCTTTTTTTCCCATTGGAATTTTTTCCCTAATGAAACAAACTTGAATAATTTAAATAACTCAAATAACTAATAGTAGTTGCCTTCAGCCGTGTTGTTAATGAACTTGTTTCAAAAAATAAAGAAATATATAAACATAAATTTATAATTCAGAAATAATTTTAAAACATACAGTGAGTGAAGCATGAAGTGTAGCAAAATCATTGTACCGATGTTGTACCTTAAAAAAAACGAATTGAATATAACAAGACAAGTGAAATATGCATGAATAGATAAACATCTATCCATAAATAAATAAATATATATTTATATACATATATATATATATATATATATATATATATATATATATATATATATATATATATATATATATATATATATATATATATATATATATAACAACAATTCTTTAATATATATATATATATATATATATATATATATATATATATATATATATATATATATATATATATATATATATATATATATATATATATATATATATATAAAACAATTACTGCTTATATAAAAAAAAGAACGTATTTCTCTAACCTATTACATAAAAACATCTCAAGTAAAAATCTATTCTCAATGGTAAACAAGCTACTAGATAAAACTCAGGAACATGTACTACCATCAGCGAATTCAGACGAAGAACTGGCTAACAATTTCAACAGTTATTTTACTGAAAAAATCAGAAAACTCAGATCAAATCTTCTAACACCCCAAACAAAAAAAAGCGCATCAGATTATAATGGTCAGTTTTTAAGAAATTTTGATCCAACAACTTACGAAGAAATTTACAATATAGCCATATCATTTGGAATAAAATGTTCTCCAGATGATTCGATTCCAGCATATCTACTAAAGAATAATTTACAAACATATATACATATATGGGTGGAAATAGTAAACATATTGCTAGAATCAAGCAGCATGGATTGTCAAAAAAGTGCTGCATTACTCCCAATAATAAAGAAGTTAGACTCTGCCACAACAGATTCAGAAAACTTCAAAAATTATAGACCAGTTTCCAATTTAGTATTCATTAGCAAGCTAATAGAAAGAGTAGTTTCCAATCGTCTAGATTCCCACATGACAACAAACAATCTTCATATAGAATATCAATATGGATACAAAAAACATCATTCCACTGAAACACTTTTGCTGAAGCTTACCAATGATATATTTGAACTCTTTGATAAGAATACACCTTCAGTACTTATGTTACTTGATCTAAGTGCTGCTTTTGACACTATTGATCAACAAAAACTACTTGGGCTATTAACTAGTGAAATAGGCATAATGGACTCAGCTCACAAGTGGTTTGAATCATTCTTAGTTAATTGTACCCAAAATGTTAAAATTGGTAACTCATACTTTACAAACCAAAATGTCAAATATGGAGCACTGCAAGGTACAGTACTGGGTCCAAAACTATTTAATATCTATATGAGACCACTGTACAAACATCTGAACATAATCAATGTTAAAACTTTTGGATATTCAGATGATCATCAAACTCTCAAAGCATTCCTTCCTTCTTTGCAATATAATGCATTAGTTCTATATGGATATACCAGAATGCCTTAGACACATATCTAAATGGATGAGCAAATCATTCTTATGCATTAACCAATCGAAAACAAAAATACTAATTATGGCACAACCAAACATTCAAAAAGATATTATTATTAAAGGTACTTTTGTTAACAAGGAATGCATTAGATTTGTTGACTCCACAAAAAGTTCGGGTGTGATACTTGACAATAAACTGTCTTTGAAAACAAAGATAAATAAGATGGTGAAAAGTTGTTACCGTATAATCAGCAAAATATCCAAAATAAAACAATTCTTATCGCATAAAGATTTGTGCACCAGTATGTTCATTAATTTTTTCATAGCTAGATTATTGCAACTCCCTTTACTTTGGAATTAAAAGGTCACTATTAAAAAAACTGCAGTCTGTTAAAAATTGTGCAGCAAGACTAGTATTTAAAAACAGAATAGAAAATCAAATAAATGACCAGGTATTTATCAATTTGCATTGGCTTAAAATTAGAGAAAGAATTTATTTCAAGGTTTTATTTATAATGCACAAGGCTATTATCCAGGAAGCGCCAGCATGATTGTGTAATTTGATTGACTTCTCAACATCAGAGAGAACTCTGAAATTAAAAGAAACAAAATCCAGCAATCATTTTGGTGATTGGGCAGTATCCCACTATGGTCCTAGACTTTGGAATATTCTTCCAAGTATCATTTGAGATGAACAAAACACATCTATTTGTAAGAAAAAACTAAAATCATATTTAATGGTGAATAGCGAACTATTCCACCAGAAAACTCTAGAATATTAAAAATTATAAATTAATATAATAATTTATTGCACAGCTGAGCAAGTGCTTTGCCAGCTTACCCTTTATTTGGGTAAAACACAGTAGCTGTGGGTAAACCCATGTATTTATATATATATATATATATATATATATATATATATATATATATATATATATATATATATATATATATATATATATATATATATATATATATATAAAATACATTAATATATTATATCAGCCCTCAGAATTAGGAAAAATATACTTGGCAATAGTTTTCTGTTTGAGGTTGGCATCAGGTCAGCAAAAAAATGTGAAACAAAGGTTTGACCATAAAACATAAAAATGAGGTCGGTGATATATATACATATATATATATATATATATATATATATATATATATATATATATATATATATATATATATATATATATATATATATATATATATATATATATATACATATATACACATATACATATATATATAAATATATATATATATATATACATATAAATAATATATAATATATATATAATATTATATATAATAATATATATAATATATTTATATATATAATATAATAATATATTTTATATATATGATATCACCATATATTGCAATAGGAATATTCAAAGGTTTTCTTGCAAGAGCTTATAATTTATGCACTAGTGATAATATAAAAAAAAAAATCGAGTTCCTCAATCATTTTATGGAAAATGGATATTCTTAGCAACAACTTCTAGACATTGTAAAACATTACAAACAATCCCAAACAAAAAGCCGCCAACAAATCAACACAAATAATACCATAAAACTTCCGTGGGTTCCTAAATTTAGCCTTATTCTAAGACGTGAGTTTCGAAAAGTTGGCATAAAAACAGTTTTTCGTTTTGGAAGATCTTTATTGAACATATTATACCAAAATAAATCAAAGCTACCACCAAACAGTTACCGGGGTGTTTACCAACTTGAATGTACATGTGGCGCTTTTTATGTGGGTGAAATCAGAAAAAAAGATAAAAACACGAATAGCTGAACATCAAAAAAACGTGACTAAAGCAAACTGGAAAACGTCTGGAATTGTCAAACATGCGCAACATTGCAAAGGTATAATTAATTGGAGTAATCCAAAAACACTTTCAGTCATCCCAAATAATTATACGAGAAAAATCAGGGAGGCAATTGAAATAGACAGATTACAATGTTGCTATCTAAAAATAAAATTCTAAACCAAGATAATGGTAACCTAGTGACGACTCACAATTGGAAACCATTTTTTGTTAAATTTAAGAAAAACTTTTTAAATATTACAGCAATGACATCATTTTTGTAAATAACGAATTTTTTTGTAACATATATGTATGAATGTATATATATATATATATATATATATATATATATATATATATATATATATATATATATATATATATATATATATATATATATATATATATATATATTTATATATTTATATATATATATATATATATATATATATATATATATATATATATATATATATATATATATATATATATATATATATATATATATATTACCATTTTTACAAATTAAAAATATTTTACACATTAAAAGTACCTTCCAGCTGTTATCAGTATTTTCACCTCTTTGAACTCTCAGAATAAACTCCTAAACAAAAACAAATATAAATTAATAACAAGTGGTGTCAATAAACTAAATAGAACTATCAATAAACTCAATTCTGTATTTTTAATTAAATTTAATAAAATAAATTTATATTTAATTATAATTAATAAATTCAATTTAGATTTAATAAAAAATAATTTTAAATATATTAAAAGTAATTTTATTTAAAAAACAGAAAATAGAAAAAACCTTATTTATCTATTTGTTTTTTTATCTAATAAAAAAAATATTCCACAAATGTTATTTACAACAGTTAATTGTTTTCCTCATAAACTGTTCTTAAATCTGTAATTCTTCTTCAGTTTTTTCTCTTGATCTTTTTTCTGAAACCATTCCAACCACTTATCACTTGTTACAACAGTTGGAACATATTTAGATTTACAGCTTCGTTAAAATTCATTTAGCTTTTCTCTTGGCCAAACCAAGCAGTCTATTATGGGATCAAGGCTTTCCAGTTTTGAATTTTTTTTGGCTGTTTCCAAACATTTTTGCTAAATTATTTCATCACACTGAGTTGATTTATCATCACATTCTATCCTGATATGAACTCTTTTGAACTCCAACAGCTGAGTATACCATAGTCCTTCACTTTTGTCTTTCACAGACTTCCATAGATTGAAAAGCCCTCTATCCGTGATAGGTCCCTACCAATAATCTTTCTCGCGGTTTTCTTCAAAACTTTCAAATCGCTGTGAGGTTAATTCTGACTCTAGTAACTGCAATTTATTGTAAAAAGGGTCTTAGGAACATTGGGCATAACATCTGTAGCTTCCAAAACCATTTTTTCTTTCTGGCAAATAGCTGGAAGACGTGTAAAATCTATTACATCAAAATTCCACGGGTACAAACCATATTTTTTGAAGCCATTTTTGATACAAATTGATGAATTTGTGAAATAATCAACAGCCGATTTCAGAAGTTGTCCAAAATTTTGATTTCACACTCTTTCTTGTGGGTCCAAATTTTTAAAACTCTTCAAAACTTTGTACCAAATTTGTTTTAATATACCAAAAAAAGTACTATCTAGTGGCTGAAGAATTCTGTTTGCGTTCTGTAGGAAAGAGATGATAATTAAACCATTTAGTTTGCAATATTCAACGGTCTTGATGTTTACATGGCTTTTATGACCATCAACAAAAATTATGACGGGTCTTCTGACTGTTTTTGTCAAGCCATTTGACAATGCTGTTTCATAAATACTCATAGAATGTTTTAGAGGTTTGCCATCTCTCATCAGAGATTCCTACAACCCATTCTGATGGTGTATATATGGCCATATCTCTCGTAATTTGACGTCCAGAATAAATAATCATTGGAGGAACAATTTTTCCCGAGGTTGTACAGCCAATAGAGCTGTATATGTCTTCTTTTCACAATTATTTGCAATATTGTACACGTTTTCTGACCCATGGCCTTAAATTTTGGTTGAACAACTTCAAATCCCAATTCGTCAAAGATCACAATTTTGTCAGGGTCATCAAACTCGTTGATATTGATGTTTTCCTATTTCAAACACTCTTCGATTTCTTTAAACCAATTTTTAATGTGAACATCAGTGATTTTTGAACCAACTTTTCCCAAAAATGTTGTAACTTGCTTGTCGATAATTGGATGTCATGCTAAATACCTTGAAGTCCAATTTTTCGATGGAAATGTAGTCTCAGAAATGTGTCTTTGATTTCTGATTTTAACAACATAATTAGAAAGAATCATAGCTAATCTTGTCTCAGTGACAGATAATCTAATTTTTGCAAGATAAATTATTGTCTCTTCAATTTACTGTTCTTCTTTGGTTGTCAAAACGGTCATAGGACCAGGTTTATCAGTCTTGATGATACCAAAAACATTATTTTGTAAAGTTGAGTAAGTAATTGCAAACTTTGCAGCAGTTTCTCTGATTTTTTGGTTCTCTTCGCAATTACAACTGTTTCAGAAAGTTGGTCCAAAGTGTAATTTTTCTCTGAAGACTTTTTTTGTTTGCTAGAACCAAAAATCAAAATAATAACTAGTTTTTTTCATGTTTTATTTAAAGTGATCCGTGAATGTTTACTACTCGTTAAAAAAAAACACAAAAATGGATCAAAAATTAAGTCATTATATAAGGTTTTGTCAGCCTGACAATTGAAAAATTAGTTAAACATACCTTTTGGCTTTGATTTCTGCCATTTATTACTATTAAAAACAAATGGTTCAAGCAAAAAAAACACCTAAGTAAATACTTTGTTTTCTTAGCAAAACAATAACAATGGAGTTTGAGCTGTTACTTTTTGATAGCTTGTAATATTTTTGCGGTTTTCTTCATCTTTTGAGTGGTGACAATAACTATAACGCATTCTACTTGTACATTTTTATTCATTAATTAATAATAAAAGATTTTAAGTGGATGGAAACTAATTTAATAAGCAAAATTTATAAAAGAAAGTTAGACTGATCCATTATTATGGGTGATCCATAATTGTGGGATAACTGTACATAGAACTTTATTTTACAATTAAGTTTTTTTTAAGTTCCAGTTCTATGATTTAAAAAAAAAAATACTGGTCTGATTAATGCGCTTTTGTAGTTAATAAATGACGTCAAAACAAAAAAGTTCTTTCAAACTTGAGTTATAAATGTTATGCTTGGGTTTTATTTTTGATATTAAATATTTTGTAGAAGAATTTCATTTTTTTTATAAAACTTTTATAACCGATTAGAAATAACACAATCAATAAGTAAACGTTTTAAAAGCTTAACTTATATTTATTTTAATTTAAAAACAAAACTAATACTAGTGCTATAAATATAAGATATGTATATTTCAAAATTGTACTGATATTTGTTTAAAACAAGTTCTGCTAATAACAACTCAAAATCAAAACTACTATTATTTTTTTTTTGGATATGATAAGAAATAGTGAAAATATATTAGGTTTCACCAGGGCTGTGGAGTCAGAGTCGTGGAGTAGGAACCACAACATTTTTAGCGAAGTGGCAGCAAATTATGACTCCTATTCCAATAATAAAACTTCTCAGTATTGCACGTGCATATACAAAATATTTAACCTTCAAAGAATTTTTCAAATATTTGGCAATAAAAAAAAAATTTTAATTATCCCATTATATTTTTTTAAAGAATTCTTCAAAAGAATTTTTCAAAAATTTTGCTTTGTCAGAGTTGGAGTAAAAGTCATGCTCTGAAAAATTTAAAAATTCGGAGTTGGTACTTTTTTTTACAACTCCGCACTACTGGGTTTCACAATAAATAAAAATAAAATATTTTAATAGAAATTAAAAAAAATAAAGCTGAAAAGCGGTAATCTTCGTTTAATTATAGTTTTTATTTTGTCAAAAAAAAACAACAGTTGAACTAAAATGCGTTAAGTAGCGTGAACGTTTTTTTATAAAGGGGAAAATCCTATCTAATTGTGTAGTTGTGTAAATCGTTTGAAAAACTCTGCCGTAAGTATATTTAAATCCTTTTAAAAAATTACCAAAATATAACATAAGTGTCCCCTCGTTTAAACATAAATATAAGTGTCCTCTCATTAAAAAAAAAAATCACACTAAAACAAATGTTTTAAAGAAAATAATTTTTTTTTTAACAACATTTAAATTTTATTTACAACTTTTCTTTATAACAATATTGTTTAATATAAAGATTTCATTTCAAAGATTTTCTCCAATTTTTAATGTGGCTTTAAATTTAATTACAATGAGTTACTTTAAAATAAGCAACTGACATAATTAAACACTCCTTTCCAGGGACGGGAAAGGAGTGTTACTACACAGAGACTTCATAATGCTTGGGATATATAATTTTTAAATTTTACTGGATACCTCCTCCTAACTACCCCTAAATTAAAAATAACAAAAAATAAAGTTATTATTTCTAGTATTTACAAAATATTTTTAAAACTCTGTATTTAAGAACTCTTGCTTTTAGCCACAGATCTAAGGGCCAATCATTTGTCAGTAGATAGCATCAAACAGACTAAAAAGTGGCAGAACTCATTAATAAACTTGTCTTTAATAAGATCTGGATAAGAGATCTTCATTAAGATTTGGATACAAAAGTATGAAATCTTTAACTTTAGATTCTTGATTGTTTATTAAGTCTGAATTAATGTCAGGCGTAGACCAGATAAAAGAAAAAAATGTACATTGCTTCTTCAGAGCTTGAAATGTCTCGGTAAACTGATGGATGAAGGTAACAAAATAAACATTTTTCATTACGCAGGGATGCGGAGTTCTAAAAAGGACTCTCGATTTGAAAGTCACAAAAAGATTACTTTATTCGAGTTTTTGGTATCCAGGAGCTTTAAAAATATAAATAAGTTTATGGACTACTAATAGGAAAAAAAATTAAGACTTTTAGATTAGAAAAACAATCCTTTTTTGAACTCCGAATCCTTAGGTATAATGGCGGCAAGAACTCCGGGACTCCAGGACTCCGGGCTTAAAAACAATAAGTTTCAAATCATTAAATCTCATGAATTTTTTTCTTATAGCAGATCAAAAGTCAACAAACATGTTTAAAGCTTCTGAACACTACAGACTTTGAAAAAGTAGAGATATAAAGCTTTAGTCCTTTTGGGACTCCATATCCCTGATTAGATGTTTTCAACTTTTTATTTCCCATACTAATAATTTTTTTTAATTATTTGATGATTCCCCATAAACATTATGCCGGGGATAACTGACTCAGATCTCCTACCCTCTGTGTGCTCCTGCTCCTTGCATGTTCTATCTATTTGTTAGTCAATGTAACATCACTCCTTGCATGTACTACCTACTTTTCAATTGATGTATATGCACTCCTTTCATGTTCTACTATTTGTCAGTTGATGTAGCAGCACTCCTTGCAAGTTCTACCTATTTAGTCAGCTGATGTTTGTAATTTTGTTTTGCATATTTTATCTTTTTAAGTTAATGTGGTAGTGGTGAAGTGGTAGAACACTCAACTCAAAAGCAAGAAGTTCAGAGAAGACCCCCACACACATCCCTGGTAGTACTGAGTTCAACTTGTTTCTCTGGTCAGCGATCTTGTTTGTCAAGGTAAACTACAACTAAAAGTAGCCTCCTAAAAATATTTATATATAGTTAAAAGTATATATATTTAATTATTCTACAAAAAAGAGTGCTCAATTTTCTTAAAATAACAGAGCAATTATAAAGTAGTAGAAAATCACTTAACAAATTTTTTTTTTTTATTATACACTGTGTTTCATCAACAAAGACTCATCAGAAATCATCAGGAAAAAAAATATATATATATATATATATATATATATATATATATATATATATATATATATATATATATATATATATATATATATAACAACTCTTTTATATTATCTCTTTTTTAGATTGCTCCAGTTTTTTTAATGAAACATCAAGGTCTTTAATTCTTTTGAAGCCTCTCTTTGCTTCTGCTTTGATGCTTAACTTAATCATTTTATCCTATATAATTTTAATACCAACATCTTAGTTAGAACCATTCTAGTCTTTATATTTATTGAGTAAACAGTGAAATCAAATAAAAAAAATCAAATCAAAATTGAATTTTTTTCAAGCTCACAAAAAAGATGAATTATGATGGTGAACCAACACAATAAAAGTATAAAAGTTAGCACCTGTAGAACTAGAAACTTTTATAAGGAATTATTACAGAATCATTATAAAACATATGCAAAAGAAAGATTTGATTAATATGCATTTTGGTTACTTAATAAAGTTTGTAAAAGATAATAAGAACTAAATTATTAAAATATAAAAACTTGAAGTTTTTTGTTGAAAAAAAAAAGATTTTAAAAATGAGAAATTTTTCACTAAAAAAAAAGGAAAAAGTGTTAATCAAATTGTAGATGTACAAATTTTTTGTAAAATTAAAAAATTTATTTTTAAAACAAAAACTTACTGTATGATCATCAACATTTAAAAAATTTTCAATGAAACATTTTAAAGGAATAGTATCATCAAGCTTTCCTTTTCCTTTTTTCTCTAGTATATTAGACATTTTATTTGGTGAACTTTAAAATTAAAATTTTTAACTGTAAACTCTAAAAATTAGACAATTTGAATATATATATATATATATATATATATATATATATATATATATATATATATATATATATATATATATATATATATATATATATATATATATATATATATATATATATATATATATATATATATATATATATATATATATATATATATATACATTTATATATATATATATATATATATATATATATATATATATATATATATATATATATATATATATATATATATATATATATATATTATATATTTATGTAATATGTATGTATATATATATATGTGTGTGTGTGTATGTGTGTGTGTATGTGTGTGTGTGTGTGTGTGTGTGTGTGTGTGTGTGTGTGTGTGTGTGTGTGTGTGTGTGTGTGTGTGTGTGTGTGTGTGTGTGTGTGTGTGTGTGTGTGTGTGTGTGTGTAATTATGCATGATCATATATATCACGCGCATAAATCAACCATACTATACTAAATAACATATGATTTGGTTTGATTTTTGAAGTTTATAACATTTATTTACAATTTATTTATCTATTTACAAATGGTAATAATAATAAGAATATTCTTCTCTCTATTTTAAGATTATACAGGATAAAACTTTTCACTAAATAATGAGAATAAAGAATATAGAGACTAAGCGAGAAGAGAGCCCTTTCACTTTACTAGACTTTAATAAAAGCGAATCTTTGTCGTTTTTAATAGTACCATTCTTGTTGAAACTTCCAGACCATGATCAAAACTGATTAATAAATAACTTTCAGTCTGAAAGTCGTTTTTCAATTAGTTTTGGTCGATTCACCTGCAAAATAAAAATATTAACAAATTGTGCACGGTAATCATATTTAAAACACGATTAATCGCCATGAGTAATATGCTAATCATGATTATTGATAATAAGCTAAACATTAAAGTTTGCGAGCCAGTCGTTTAATGCTATTAAACTACAAAAAACTGAAAACATTTAATTAGATTCACATTAAAGATTTTGCAATAATAACTTTCATGTTAATAATTTATGTTTAACATAGTTAAAACAATGTCTTATGAGACGCGACAAATCACGTGTAGTACCTTAGGCCCGTACGCAGTATATTTTTTATGCTTTTTAGAAATGACACTCTCAGGAATTTTGCGATGACACAAGTTTGAAACTGCAACTCTTAAATTAAAATCGCGGCTCCAATCACAGCTTCTTTTTGCTGTTTTTGAATGTTTTTGCAAAACATTCTCATTTTACATAAACATGATTACACCTTAGTTTGGCACATTACTGAATTTTTGCATAATTAGGATCAACTACACAACATTAAAAACTACTTCGTTTTGAAAGTTACTTAAATAATTCAAAAGCATTCACCTAATTTTCCAAACGTAAAACTTCGCATTTTTACTTAAAATATAAATTTAAACACGAATCCATTTTGTATGTTAGAGAATTTTTTCATTTTATAAACATCTATCTAACATTCACGGCGAAGAAAACGTTTTTTTGTTGTTGTTGTAATTGTTAATTTTTCGTGCTGGAGATAACTTTTTGGCGTTTTTTAAACTCCAAACATTGTACATATATTGTACATTGTATATATATATATATATATATATATATATATATATATATATATATAATATATATATATATATATATATATATATATATATATATATATATATATACATATATACATATATATATATATATATATATATATATATATATATATATACATATATATATATATATATATATATATATATATACATATATATATATATATACAGGGCCGGCGCGAGTAGGTGTCACGTGGGGGGTGCCATTACCATTTTTGCCGACTAAAAAAAAAAAAAAAAAAGGTCCTCGTTTTCCAAAATTTGCCGACTGTCATTACGACATTTGCCGACTGTCTAACCTATATCGAAAGAGTCGACATTTGCCGACTAACTAGTCTAAAAAGGTCCGATTTGCCTACTAAGGGTCCAGTTTGCCGACTAAAAATCATTGATGGGGGGGTGTGACACCCCCCCATATATATATATATATATATATATATATATATATATATATATATATATATATATATATATATATATATATATATATTGTAATTATACTTGTATCAACTCAGGTTTTTAAGAAGAGTTATTGAACTTAGAGGTTGGGAACAAAAATACTCCGTTGATTTTCCCCATTTATAGAAACTAAATATATTTATTAAAAGATTTTAGATTTCATCGAAAATCATATTGGCGTTTTGAAAAGGCGGCCATGTAAAGTTTACTCTCTTAATTGGGAAGGAGGTTGCTTCAACTAAAAATTGTCAGCTCAGACAAAATTAAAAGATTTAAAAAAAAAATTCTAAAATCACTAATAATGTCTATACAATGTTTCCATAGAAGGATTTTGTCTTTTTTGAAGAGATTGATTGTAAATTTGGCAGAGTATGTTCGACTATTTAAAAAGAAATTTAAAAGAAGTTGAAAATCAATTCAGTCTAAGTTCTTTCCGCAGTTTCGTAACAAATGTTTGTTATTTCAAGTTTTCATTATTTCATGTTTATTGACTGTCCCAATAAACTTGAAATATTCGATATGTAAAAAACAACGAGTTTTATTGTTCCAAAAAAAAATTGCATCTACTTAACAATCAGATCCTCTCAACGACTCAACGCTTTTTTATATTTTAGTTGTTTCAACTAGGATTTTTTTTAATTGCTTTCTTTAGTTTGTTTTTTTTTTAATTAAGTGTTCCTTTAATTACTCATTGACTTGGACTTTTTTTCTCCCCCAAATAAAGAATGTAATAATTTTTTCAACTAATTACATAAATTTCTTAAAAGACAAAAAAAATTAGATTTGATTTGTATATATTTAAATACAGTTCAAAGTTCTTTACAACTTAAAAAAAAAAAATTCTATTTGAACAAAATGTTAAATTGTTTAAAAAACTAAATCTTTATTTTTCTATATTTTACAACTTTGACGTAATTTATAATGACGTTTTTACGATAACTTGTAACGTATTTATGCTTTTAAAAATTTTTAGTGTACATTTTATACTAAACTGGAAATATTATAGGGAAAAAGTATTTATTTGTTAGAAAATCGAAGTATGCGAAAGGTATTTTTTTTAGGTATAAGTAGTTTAGGTATATTAAAACTTAATTAAAATTTAAAAACTTAATAATATTTAAATAAATCAAAATATCAAATTTACTACTTACTTTAATTTTTGTGTATCACAAATGAGAGGCTGGCACAAATGAGAGGCTGGCACAGAGGCTGAGCAGTAATTATTTATTTTTTGCATTATTATAATATTTATTATATTATTATATATTTCAGTACTTATATTTTATTTTTAGGTCAGTATTTATTTATTATTCAGTATTTATATGTAATAGTGGCGCTAAAAATGTGAAATAATTATGCACCAACCAACTTATGCTATTTTTATGAAAAAGATCTTATTTTTTTTCATTAATAAAAAAATGATACTTTTTTTTTAAAAACATATTTTTATTTTTTTTATTTTTTAAGTAGAATTTAAAACATTAGCAGTAACAGTAATGACCTTAGAGTCAAAAAGTTCGATGTTTGCGATATAACCATGATGGGAAAAGGGGGTTAGCGCGAACTTTCTTGTTAAATGCTTCTCCGCAAAGTTCTGTGATTAGACGTTTAGGTCTTCATAGAACACTTAAATGTTTTTAAATAAAATAAAATTAGGTGACGTTAAATTTATTTAACGTAGCATTAATTATTTTTGGAAGAAAATGCTTTCGGCCCATTATTCGATTTATATTCGGCCCGATTATTCGATTTATTCTATATAAAGTACAATTAATAAGATGAAAAATATTTTCACCTAGAAAAACCAAAACTTGTTTCCAAGTAAAAAAAACCTAAACTTCAATTTGATCGGTTTTGAGGCCATGATCAATTTGGTTGTAACTCATTTAGTTGCAAGTATAATCTTAAAATAACTTCGATTGACATTGTTGTTTCTAGCGTATATTACTGCAAATATATGAAATATATAATCATAGAAAGTAAAACTAATTTAAAACTTTTTTTAAATAAGTTGAAAAAAAGAAATTAAAAAACATATGAATAAAACTTTTAACAGTACCGATAAAAATGAACTAAATAAAATCTTTAATATGCAAAAACACGTACTAAGAATTACACCATAGCCGTCTGCGCATACAGTTAGTACAGACAGCTAAACAATTACAATTACAGTTAGTACAGACAGCAAAACAATTCAAAATGAGGTAAATAATCTTATTAATGATGTTGCTTTACAAAATAATATAAATAATGTTAAAAATTCAAAATATCATTTTATTTCACTAAAAGCAAATGACTATAACTTTGCGTATATGCAACTTGGGAGAAATCGATGAGTTATATTGTGGGATTCCTACCTGTCAATGACATCACTGGTTTAGGTATTGCTGAAGCATACTTACAAAGCATAAAGATCTGAATTTAAATGATATGATAACAGAGCAAATATAAAAGGTTGCAATCGTTGTGTACAAAATCGTATACTTAACTTTAAATCAGTTTATGTACTATGTGTATACATTTACGTCTGGCTCAGATATTGATCCGAAGAACTTATGCAATGAATTGTAAATATTTTCTAACATTGTTCCAAATAGTGTTTTGTCTTCTATTGATGCTTTAAACTTTATTTATGATTATGGTTTGAATACTGCTATTCCTAATATTGCTAAAGCTTTTTGTACAGCTTTAATAATTGCGATTACTAATTGGTGAAAGAAGTTTTTTCAAGATTCAATTTATTTAATGTCTGAACAGTCAAGATTCAATTTATCTAATGTCTGAACAGTCTGGCAATCATACCTATCAAACAATTTTGCTGCCACCAAAGCACAAAAAGTTGCACTAACTTTTATCAAATTTACATGAATGTGAAGTTTGCCATTGTTAAAAACTCAATTTCCGCAAAATCTTGGATATACAATGTACGATAAATGTTAGTTGATTATTAAGCAAATAAAAATTAAAATAGATTCTGATTGGACTAAAATTTTAATAATAAACTGGACAACAGTAGCAATTGTAAAACATATTATTTCCCAGCAAATATTTTTGTAGTGGATTTGCAGTGTCCCTACATAGGCATTTTGAAAGCTAGCACCTCACAAAGAAAACCTTTTAAATTAGTTAATTTAAGAACCAAGCTATTAAGCTACCTTGTTTATTTATTCAAAATTCACGTTTTCCTGTATATATTCGTTTGAAAAAAGTGTAAAAAGTGTCAAACTCTAACCCGTAATTTTCTACACAACATTTGGCACCTTTTTCATTAAAAAAAAAACTAGAATAAATCCAGACTACTAAAACAACGGGACGCGAAACTCTAATTTCATGTAGTTTTGACGACAGGGCCGATGAAAAAAAAAGTGAAACACTTCTATTATTAAACAAAAATATAATTATAAATAGAAATTTAATAAAAAAATGTTATGGCTCAATTGTTTATCACTATTTTCAAACAAAAATTAAATTGTGTTGATTAAGTGTTAAAAATAAAACAACTTTTTACAAAGAAACTGTAAATTATCCGTAAATTAGCTGTAAATAATTATTTATAAAGACAATATTTTATTTATAAAGACTATGTTAATAAACTAATTAATCACTATTTATCATACTATATTATATTCATATCATAATAATAAATATATAATTATAAATAAATTTTAAACCATATAAATATAAAGCCATAAATACATTTCAAAACGTTATTAATTATATCACCAACGTCAACTAAATAATCAGACCACTAAGTATTGAGTTTCTTTTTCTGTCCTCAATGTTTAATGAAACAATATCAGATGTATTATCAAGGGTATATCACACCTTTTAAGAAACAGTTAGTTATTATTGAGATAACTTTTGCAATACCTATACTGTCTGTTTCTAAATCAAATGGTAATGTTGAATGCAAGAATAAAAATAATTTCTTTAAATAAACAACACATTGAAAACGTTTTTCAGACATTGAAACCCTGTTAAACAGTAGATAATAAACACAAATAAACTGGAAAAGAGTATCACCAGGATAACGCAATTTACCACGTGAAACATAATCTGTAAATTCAGAACTAGCTGATTGTGATGTTGTTGTATCAACTACACGCTGCGGATTGATCTTGTGCTGTACATAACCAGCCATATAAAAAAGGGCAGCATACTCCTGATCATTAATAGATTCATTGTCTGCATTAATTAAACATTCATCTAAATAAATAATATCCTCTTCCATTAGATCCATTGTGCAACAGTCTGAATGTATGCGTGAGCAATGAATGTCAGTTTCATCCAAAGACACTATTTTGCTGAATAATTTTAACGCTGAAGGTGCAAACTGTTCAATACTTGTTCTGCTGAGATAAAATAATTTCCGCCACTTGGTTGTCTACAAATAAGCAAAAAATTTGCAAAAAGATATAACCAAACAAACTGAGTTGAACCGAGTATTAAATTATAGTTAAAACAGCAATAGTCAAATAAAAAAGTATCGTTAAACTTATGTATGTTAAAAAATAATACATTTAAATAAATGAGAGAAATATTTGTTTTATAGATTTCAAATCTACAAAATTTTCTTAACTATAAGTAACACAAAAATAATTTTACCTGTAGATGCCAAATTCACCTTTAAGACAATCTGTTTGAAAAATACCGGGAAGAGCATATTGGTGAACTTCTGAAAGCAGTTTTTTTATTAATTCTACCAATCCTTGTAGGGTGTTAACTAAAGCATGTTTTGTTTCTGGTGTAAAAGTATTATGACACTTTAATCTCTTTCCCTCTGACATCTTGGAAGTTGCATCAGCAAATGCTAAAATTTTTTTTAAATCTAAGGTCATTGAGTGTCTGGAAAGGAGACCTATTGATATCATTAAGTAAAACATCACAACCTTTCCTCTTTACATTTAGCATGTTCCATAATGAAACAATTGGTGCTAAAAAACAGGCTGTTGTTTAGCACCAATTGTTGGTGCTAAAAACACTGCCAGCTAATCTCAATGCTGCAACAGTTTTTTCATTAAATACAGCAACCATGTTTGCAACATTTTGTCTATCAATCAAACTAGGGTACACTGACTTCTGTGAAAGCTTTGTAGTTTTGGCAACACAAATTTTCTGTCTGTTATATAATTGAACAATGTGAGACGAATCACCAGAGAGAGGTTGATTATTAATTTTTAAACTAATTGTTAGTGTTTTTTCCGTAAACCAATTATTTCTTATACTTTTAAACAAGTGAACTGGATCGTGTGGCATAATAACTGGTTTTTCTTTTTCTATAACACCTTGCCATGGAAAACTTTTATTAACAACGAAACTTTGGTAAACACTTCGATTTGTGGGATGGTTATCTGATAAAAGACACAGTAATTCTCCTCCTGCATCGATTATTTGTTTATTTATGTTTATAATCAAATCGCGAAGAAAGTGTACTGACAGTTTAAATATTGGTACAATTCTACTAACAAAAGAAGGTTTACCAAACATAGATTTAATCATAAAGACTAATATTGTTTTTGCAATTTTAGTGGGATTGTCCTCACTATATCCAATGAGGTGTCCTCCTCTGAAACTAACACTTGGTTTAATATACATCTCATCAAAGAAAAGGCAGCAACGCTTTTCAGAACTATTAAAATTTTCAAAAACAACTTTGATTGTATTATTGCACTCATTTTCATTTCCAACTTCTCCAACTCTTCCTAATTTTGAAATGAGAAACTTTGGACTGGGCAAACAAAGCAGATTTCTTAAATGTCGATAACAACATCTGGAGGACAAATACAGTTCAAGTGCACAACGTATACATAAAGTAGAAAAGCGCAGTTCATTTGGAGAACAAGTGGTGAGGCGTAGTTGTTCAATGAGTAAAGAAATTTCTTCAGAAGTGTCACTGTATGTATTTTCAATTTGACTAATCAAACTTAATACCTCATATTTTATTTCAGGACTAGAGATACAAACTCTTCTGACAATAGCTTCAAGCTGTGACCACCAAGTAAAACAATGAGAAAAACTGAGCAGGTCATAGTAGTTAACTTTTGTATGCCTACAATAAATATTAACTTGACGTGAATGACAGTTAATTTCAACAGAAAATATTGTTTCAGGTAGACATGATCGAGAAACATCAAACAATATGACTTTTGAATTTTCAATGAATGCAAAGTATTGAGGATATCTAAAATAGATTTAATAACAAGTAAACTTTAAATCAAAACAAGTAAACTTTAAACAAATATCATAGAACAAGGGGAAAAAAAAATTTTTACCTTTCTTTTATTTCAGACAACATTATTTCAACATTATAAAATCTAATTAAATCAATTTGATTGAAACCATCCATTTCACCAGGTATTGGATTTCGTGATGTTAAAGAAATTTTATTTATATTTGTAGATCTTGGTTGTGTTGAGACTGTTTGGTGCACCATTGAACATGTGCATCCAGGAAAAATAGATGGGGGATCAATAGGAACCTAAAAAAAAGATATTAAAATTAGTCATTGTAAAACTTATCAATAAAAACAACTTTAAGGATGTAAACATGAAGCTTTTCTTCTGAAGTTGATGTTAAATAATTTGTGGTACAATTAACTATTGAACATTTTCTTGGCATGATTATAACCAATACTAGTAAGTTACTAGTGTTGGTTATAATCATGCCGAGAAAATGTTCAATAGTTAATTGAACCACAAATTATATTACTAATATATATTTATAATAAATAATAATTGTGTTACTAAGTAACACAATTATTATTTATTATAAATATGACATAACATTTTGTAACACTTAATAGATTCATTACTTAAAATAAATTTCTCAAATTAAAAACTATTTAATACAATTTTTTTAATCTTACTACTTTCAAAAATTAAAAAACTTTAGATTTTTTAATTAAAATAGCAACTTTTTTCAAAAAAAAAAAGGGTTTTTTTTCGAAAAATGTTGTAAAGCTCTCCCATATTTCTATTGCATTAATCTATATTTTATCAGTACGATACTGATAAGAAATATATGCATTATATTAGTAATATAAATTTATATCACTTTAATGTATTCTAAAATGTAAATATAATTAGATTAATGTAAGTTTTTCATAACATCTTTGTTAAATCAAACTAGCATCGCCATTTACAATCGGCCCTGTCGTCGTTTTAGCATCGATTTGAAGTTTCGCGTCCCCTTATTTTAGTAGTCCCTGAATAAATCAAAGTATTTTTGATAAGAAATTCAAAATTTTAAATTTACTGCCCTCATAATAATACAAAGTTTATAAATTTTTTTTTGATTTGCTTTGTAAAAACCACTAAAAAAACGTAAATAAAATTAATAAAAAAGAAAATTAAAGTTACAAAAGTTAAAGCTTTAAAAAAAAAACATTTAATAATACAAAACAAAGTAGACTTGTAGACTTTCAACCAATTTAAATTTTCCATTGTTAAAAAATTTCAATTTCATCCTTGTCAGGGTGTAACGAAGTTTCTTTACATTTTGCTTTTACATGAAACTAATACGCAGTACTTTTAATTTTAATTTCGTTACTTTTCAGGTTTACTTTTTCACTTCATTGAACTAAATTGTTATATTAGCGTGTATTTTTGTGTATTTTTTATATTGCTATCTACGTTTTGTTTATGCTCTCGTGTATTTTTGTCTCACTCAAACAAAAAGTCAAAACTTAAATATATAAGTATGTATATATACAAAACTTCACAGTGTTTTGCGAGTTGTCGCAAAATTTCGCTCTTGTCTACATAACTAAAGATTTTTATTTTTAGCCTTATCTTGTCTTCTTAAAATATAAATTGTAATACTTTTCACTTTATTCTATTACTTTGTACAAAAAATATATCTTAATATTATTTCAATTATTTCAAAAGTATTTTAAATGTATATTGTTAAAACTAGTAAAAACTATGTAGTTAAAAAAAATGATGATAATATTTCTAAAATAGAATTTTATAGGATGCGGGCAGAGCAAAGAAAGAAAATTATTCTTGGAATACTCTGTCTAATCAAAACTTGAAATCCATTTTAGATACATTGTAGATACATTGTAGATAGCGTCATTATCATAGCTTTGACCACGAATATTTTTAACATCAAGGTCATTCTTTTCTAACACATTCGATATTTATTTTACAATATCAGCCCTCTTCTTCTTTTCGAGGTCTTCTAGCTCAAGGAAACTTTCCCAGACCTCCCATAGCTAATTAATGCCGCAATATATAAAAAAAAAATTGTTTGCTGTAAGATGAACCGGGAGTGCCGTCTGTAATGATGGTAAAGTATATTGATTTTCGAACTTCTTAAATAACATTTCTTGAATCATTAATTTGTGACATCCAGGATAAGTAATATCGCTTTAAAAAACTGTATTTAAACGAGTATTTAAAAAACTTAATTAATTTGTGACATCCAGGATAAGTAATATCGCTTTTAATGACTTAAAAACTGTTTAAATGTGTTAAATCTTGCGATCTGAAAACTTTCTATAATTTCCATGTAACCTCCATCATAAGATAACAAGCTGTATCAATTATATAAGATATAACCTCCATCATAAGATAACAAGCTGAATTCAAATTTGCATTCTATTTGGTTTTTTAAAAAACCTTTTAGGATTTGAGGAGATTCCAATTAAAATTATTGTCGTTCAATAAAGAAACTGATATTGATTTCTTGTGGAAATCAATATCAGTTTCTGATATTGATTTCCACAAGTTAGATTATTAAAAATTGGTCTAGTTGGTGTATCAAGATTATTTTAATATACTTTTTGTGACAGACAACTTGAAATTATAACTGATTTTTCTGAGAATCTTCAATGTCTTGAAGACTCCCAGATGTTTTGTGACTCTTTGCAACCATTTATATCTCTATGTTATCGAACTATAAATGTTGATTAATAGAATCATTTTATTTTTGCTTTTATGGAAATCACAAGATTTAAAAATAAATTAACTACCAGATTGTGCTTATCTTCATTTTTTGTTCAACAAACGCAATCTAAAAGTTTTTAGTTTATTTTCCTTCTCATTTTCTTTCCGAACCATCGCTCTTTTTCTCCTAGCAGCTCCGTATAACTGGTTCAAACTTAAAGGCTTTATTTTCTTATGCAAACAAATAGCCAATGAAAACTCCTGCGTTTAAAATATAAATGAAAACTTGTAGTGTATTAATATTTTATTTATATTTCTATTTTACATGTAAACAAAGCTTTAAACGCGAATAAAACTATTGCAAAAAAAAAAATTGGTAATAATCAAGTTATCAGCTAAACTTTTTACTCGTAAAATAGTTTCACATTAAATTGAATGTTTCACTAATGTTTGCAAACTAGGTAAAATTTATTTTTTATCAACTACTTATAAATTGTTTGTTTTTTAAGAATATGTGATGCGATGACCCATACACGGTAGTTCCCAGGGAAAATTAATTCAAACGCTCGCTCTCTTTGCGGCCCTGTCATCAAGAACCACCTTGATGATATCACATTGTTGTACTAGCACGTAGTCAATTATTTTTTTTATATATTGAATATAAAAAATATTTTGTAATAGAGTTGTATTAGTTTTAAACATCAATAAATATGAGTTCTATTAGTACTTTTACAATTAAAAAAAAAAAAAAAAAACTTTCTTGTTTTTGTTTCTAGTAACTTTAATTGCATACAACCTGTAATGTCAATTTGAAAAAGTGACCGCTTGTATATAACTAAAACTTTGTTACGTGTTTTACAAGTAACAACTAATCAAAGATATGAGAAATAAACCACTAGCGTAGCAATGTCTTTAAAGTACATATTTTTGTTTAATGTAAACATCTTTATGACTGGTTTAATTAACACGTAGTTTTTTCAATATTGCTTTTTATGAAAAAGATTGTTGATTAACGATTGAACTTTAATACAATCAATTTTACTGCTTTAAAAGATTCTAGAAATTTCTTTCCTTGCTTTTTGTCCAAAAAAAACAAAAAAAAAACAGCTTTGAAAACTTGAGTAAAGGTTTATTTATTTTTTTTCTCTATGATAAGTGCAGTTACTACTTGCTTGTTTTGTAAATTTAAATACATTTTTAAAGTTTTTCATGAACTTTATTATTCACTTTAACAGTTATTTTCTTGCGCTTGAGTTGTTAAATGAGTTTTGCCATTTCATGGATTGCTGGCGTTGCCATGGATTTTTCATCGAAACAACTTCTTAATTCTTCAAAATTCATTATTATAAGTTTGCATATAAGTTAAATTGTTCAGCTAAGATTGTCACTTGAAAAAACTTTTACATGCTTTACAAAACTCATGAGCGGAAAAGTAAATGATTGATTGGCTAAAAGTAAATGATTGATTGGTTAAATGAAAATAATTTATTGGCTAATTGAAAATAATTGATTGACTAATTTAAAAAAATTGATGGCTAATTGAAAGTGATTGATTGGCAAATTAAAAATAACTGGTATACAAAAAAAAAAAAAAAAAAAATTAGGTTAGTTGTTAATTAAGCCGTTAAAGTTTTAAACGTTGAGCTCAGCCTTTGATGTTTAAGAAATGGTAGCTCAGGCATGAAGCAAACTCTAAACTTTTGTACAATCATGCTTATGTTGTTTGAGAAAAATTTTAAAAAAATTTCTCCTCTCCTCCGTCTCGTCCCCTCTAATGATTCGTAGGTAAATAACTCAACTCGAGAATAAAAAAAATCTAAAATACAATATGTTAAAATTTTAAAAAATATATCAAAGTTAAAAAACAAGGTCTGCGCAAATATGCATAAAAAAGCAAATATGGTCAAAAATAAGGGCAGCGGAAATATCCGCTGAGCATGGTCAAAGTTCCTGAAAATAGGTTTTTGTATGTGCATATTTTCACCAATTTTAAAACGTTTATAAAAATTTAAAACAATTCCTAAAAGTTTATTGCCATCATAGCATTTTTAAGGTACACCATCAAATATTTTCTGAAAATTAAAATAAAATGATTATTAGCTTGTTTGAAAGGCAATTTATTGTAGATTAATAATGTAAAAGTTTGCTTCCAACTTATTTGTTAATTTTTCAATAAATTAATTAACTAAAAAATAAATAAATATATATATATATATATATATATATATATATATATATATATATATATATATATATATATATATATATATATATATATATATATATATATATATATATATATATATATATATATATATATATATATATATATATATATGAAAACAATATTTAATCTTCTTTTTGCGTTTTTCTCCGTTTTCGAATTTTGCGAAACACTGTCTTATTGTAAACATGATATCTTGTCAAGCAGAAATGCAAACTACTTAACATTTTCAGTGAATGTTTATTATATTATAATAGAATAAACATTTATTGAAAATATGAAGTAGTTTGCACTTCTGCTACACAAATAAAATAAATTTTTTTACATCAATTAATTAAAAAAAAATTTTTCAGGCCTAAAAGTTTTAAAAATAAATGAAAATTTTGATATGTCATTGCCTAGAAAATAATATTATTTTTCAGGCAGTTAGAAAACAATATTATTTTCTCGAAAATAATATTATTTACTCGAAAATAATATTATTTACTCGAAAATAATATTATTTACTCGAAAATAATATTATTTACTCGAAAATAATATTATTTACTCGAAAATAATATTATTTACTCGAAAATAATATTATTTACTCGAAAATAATATTATTTACTCGAAAATAATATTATTTACTCGAAAATAATATTATTTACTCGAAAATAATATTATTTACTCGAAAATAATATTATTTACTCGAAAATAATATTATTTACTCGAAAATAATATTATTTACTCGAAAATAATATTATTTACTCGAAAATAATATTATTTACTCGAAAATAATATTATTTACTCGAAAATAATATTATTTACTCGAAAATAATATTATTTTCTAGGCAGTTTTTTTAGTTTTTTTTTTATTAACTGATGTGAAAAAATTTTATTCTAAATTTGTGTAGTTATTATTAATATAATTTTTTTTTTTTTAAGTTTTGAATATTTGGTCAATCACCTTCATTCCATCATTATTATTATTTTTTCTTTCTGTTTACATTTGTCTTAAAATAAGTATTATATTTTATAAAAAACAAACAAACAAAGATAAACAAACAAATAATAGCAAAAATCTTTTGATTACTTGAGTTTTTGTCTACTCATTTTTGTCGTTGTTTACAAAGATAAACAAACAAGGCTTCTGAAAGAAGATCATAATGATCTTATCACCAGAACCTTTTACAATTTTAAAAATAAAATAGTAAAATAAATCATTTTATAAAACAATAAATCATGCTATAAAAACCGAAAATACAAATCTAAAGAATGGTCATAATAATAAATCTATAATGATAAATTCATAATAAAAATCACGTATCTGCAATAATGATAATCACAAATCTCTTATAAAAATGCATAATAACAAATTTTATAAATCTGTTATAAATCAAAGAAAATAAATCAAACACGCAAGCCATAAAATATGAGACTGGCTTTAAACTTGAATAAAAACTTAAATAAATACGATAAAATTTTTTTTTTGGTATGTTCTTGGAATTAAATATACAGAATAGGAAAATAAAAATAAATTTATCACAAAACTCCACAAGACAAACTTGATCAAGTCTGGTATTGGTACCTTGTACCAGCTTTTGTGCTGAATTTAGATCAAGTCTACTGGCACAATAACAAATCCGACGCTCAAGGTTTGATATATCCATTCTTGGACACATCCCGCTTAAGCATTGCCCAAAAGTCTTCTATAGCACGACACTCTGGTAAGTTTGCTGGATTGTCTTTTTTTATTGAGCAATGGTATCTTCTGAGTTTTTAACCATTTTTTTTACCGAATTAGCATAGTGAGATGTTGCTAAATCGGACCAAAAGATATACTTGGTGTCTCGATAATATTTATTAATATAAATTGTTGCAAGCGCTCGAGGGGAGATTACCATCCATACAAGTAATTAATTTCCAAATTTTGCAACATCATAATACTTAACAATGTCTGGTGTCAATTTTTGATCATTTGAATAGTATGTATTATTACCAGCCAGTGTGCTATTTGACAAAGTAAAGTATGAACCATCATCAATAATAAATTCATAGTTGCGATATTTTGAATAAAGTCGACCACATTTTCGGCGACCCCAAAGCCTCTGTTCAGGAGTTCTGCTTGATCTTTTTTTTTTTTATAACAAAGAATAGGTTTTTTAAGCATTTTAAGATTCGTCCGATGGTGTTTTTGCTAAAACCCAGTCTTCTAGAAGTCTTTGAAAGTGACACACCTCTTTGATTGTTAAACTTTTTCCTCAATTTGGTGCGTTTGTTTTGTGCATTAAGAGTAGGCTTTCTTCCACTTCCAGCTTTGCTACAGAAAGGTTTATTTTGATTGTACCTGTTCATATATCTATAAATTGTAGCTTTTGAGTAGCCCTTCATCTTGAAAAGGTTCCAAACAACGTGTTTTCCTCCATCTTGAAAAGGTTCCAAACAACTTGTTTGTCAACGTGTTTTATATATATATAATTTTTTTATATAAAAATTATACACACGACTTTTTAGGACTTGTTGATTTGGCATTTTAAATTGTTATCTAAACAAAAAATAATCAGAAAATTTATATGCCAATTGAAAGAGAAAAGATAGAGCTTTCATTTGATGCCACATAATAATTATTTTATTAAGCTTACTAATTGAATATTGCTAATTCAAGTTAGTCTCAAATTTTATGGAACAGGTGTTATTAATATAAATATTATTATAAATTTATATTATAACCATCATTCAATCATCATTATTCCATCACCATCATTCCATCATTACCATCATTCACCACCATCATTCTCAAAAAAATATTCCACTTATTTACTTATACAAAAAACTATTTAAAAACTTTAATAGTTTTTTGTACAAATAAACTTTGATAATTTTTCAAAACTACAAAAATTTTCAAAAAATTAATAAAACAAGTCAGATTATCTTCATATTTTGGTTTTATCTTTTAGATCAATCTCAATATATTTTTACTTTAATGTTTCAAACTTTTTTTATTCTAATTTGAAAATTGTCCAACCCAAAGAGAAATATTATGAAAGGAAAACGCCTTCCCATAAATATTTTTTTTTAAAGTACATATTTAAAATAACTTTTTTTATAAAATAGCTTAATAAAAATTCTGGGACTTTTTTATTTTCCCTCAAGAAAATATAAAACCACCTGGCCAGGGGTTGACCCTTATGTCATAAAAATGAGCTATTAAAGTGGTAAACAATTTTTCATATTTAAGATCTGTTATTGCAGAAAATATATGCTTACAACTAAAAAATAAAAGTAACTGCGGTAGTGGTGAAGTGGTAGAGCGTTCGCTTCATAAGCAAGAAGTTCCGAGTTCAATCCACATCGCTTCCCTGGTAGTAGTCCGCTCAACTTGTTTCTCAGCACAGAGGTTCGTGTTCCAGAGTTATATAGTTTAGAGAAGGTTGTAACCACAATTAAAGTAGCCTTTTCGACTAGTGGCTTTCTCGGCCTTAAGGAGGTGAATTAATATTTAAAAAAAACCTTATTTAAATTCGACATGAAATTAATGAAATTTTTGCATAATTTTAAATATGTCTTTTAAATTAATTCTAAACAATAAACTTATTAATTTTTAAAAATTTTGGTCTCGCACGAGCCATTTATTTACGAAGACTATTTAATAAGATGGAAAGCCAACAGCATTTTACTAGTAAAGTGCTGATGCCATCTCATCTCTTTTTGAAAGCTCTAATTTTTTTTAGGAATTCGTTTGTTTTTCGACTTTTTAAAATTTAGTATATTTAAAATAATGTGTACACATAATTTCTTTTTGTTTCCTTTTTTTAGGATTACTTCTTTTGCTACACTTATTAAAATAATTTATTATTTGGCGTGCGAGGAATCGGCTGTTTTGGCTCGCGTTTGTTTATTATCTGATTTGAATGATACTTAAGATATTTACTCATTAACTCCCATAGGACATATTTGTAAACTTTCTATTTTCATTCTAAATTTTATACTTTCATTCTAAATTCAGTAGTATGAATGGTCACACAGTTAATTCAGTTATTCGCATTAAATCTTTTATAAGGTTGCAATTGCACGGTTTTTCCGTAGAAGAACACAGTGTTTCGCTCTCCTACGTAAAAAGGCGAAAATATTCACTCTAATGTTATGCATTCCTAACTTTACGTGTGGTGTTTCAATACATTTCCATCACTCTTATATTTATAATATGCATAAATAATCTTAAAATAAGCATCACATTCAACGAGCAAAGTTTTTTATACTAACTTTTCAAACAGCTAGGCTCTAGCTAGTCACAAAGTTTGTAGAAGATCAAAATAAAGTCAACTCTATTCAAAAAAACGACAATTCAATGGAATTTAACTTTTTATAAATAGCGAAAAAATGTGAAGCAAAGTAAATTTATTTTTTGAATACTTTATTTGATTTGTATGCATAAATACAATTTTAGAAATCGATTAATTTTTGATATCAGATTTTTAAAATTTTAATTTTCGTTTTTAATTTGCAATTTATTTTATGAGATAAATTTTCACATATATTTTTTAAATATATTTGAGAACTTTGTCTTCACTTGTCTTTTGTCAATATGTTGAGAACATATATGGGCAAAAATAAAATGCGCATGCACTATAAATCAACAACCACTTTAAGCAAGTCAGGTTTAAGATGTAAACACAAAATTTAAAGTTTATTTATTGTGAATATGTTTAAATTGCGAAACTAAAAAGGTTGAATTGGTTGGTTTTTTAAAAGTATTTTGTTTTATATCAATACAATTTGTGATTATAAAATTTAAAAATTTTAAGATGACTATATTACCCAAAAAAAAAGAGCAAAAAAATGATGAGGTAGAAAGAAATCGTTCAAGAAACAGAACCACTCGTAGTGGTGAAGTTGTTAGAAATAGAAATAATCAAGATGAAAACATTTCGGAAAGTTCGAATAGTTTAGATAAAAGAGACTCTCAAGAATTATTAAATTTGCCACTTCATAAACGTTCGAGACACCGTCAAAGTTCTAACTATTTTTCAAAAAACAGCAGAGAAACTCGCGAAGGTAGTGTCAGTCCGCCATATGACGTTAATGAAAATGGATATAATAGTTCTGATGAATATGATAGTCTTCGAGAAATTAAAAAGGTAACAAAACTTTATTTTTTTTAAATATTACATTTAAGAGTTTTTTTATTTTTTGTTTGTTAGGTTTAAAATTTCACATTTAAAACAAGAAAACTGAGTTTCAATAATCTTTTTATAGGATAGAATGAAGTAAAGTGAAGTTAAAGTGTAAAAAAATCTTCAATAAAAGTGAAGCCATTACCATGAAGTTAAGATACAATGAACTACTTCACTTTACTCCAGCTCCAGGCTGGTTAAGAATTATTTAAAAACATAGACCTGAAAATTTGAGGAAAGTACTCTAATTCAATGTTAAAGTTTATAAAATTACAACATGCTTATATTTGCTATCAATTTTATACTTGCTTATGATTAAAAACTTTTTGAAGTTATCTTAAAAACACTCGAAGACAGCCTTATTTTAAGCAAAACCCATTAGTCTTTGATTGATCTCTTACCCATGATTCTAATTATATAATTTTATTTACACCCTTATTGCCAATCGATGTATTTACATTTAAGTGCATCAATTCCTATTTTTTAGTCAATTTGTGTACATTTGATTGCACCAATTATTATTTGTTAGTCAATGTATTTACATCTAAAAAGCAAAGTCTTAAAAGTTTTTTTTTTTATATTTATATTCATAAAAACATTTAATTAAATTTAAATAATTTTTATTTAACAACAACAATTAAAATTAGATTGTGTAATAAAAAATAATAAATCCTGTATTAAAGAACATCAAAAAAAAACAAACAAATATTTGTGTTTCAAGTGTATATTTTTAAACTTCAACAATGAAGCAAAGTACTTTCCTCAAATTTTCAGATGTTTTTGTATGATTCTCAATAAACATAAAGCTCTTTATCATAATAAATCTTAAAATGATAGATATAAGCAACTAAAACAATGCCCCAAAAATTTGGTCATTATTAACTTGGCTTAAAAGATGTGTTACATGTGTGTTTTACGCAATTTTCTAGTTTTATATAAAGTTGTTTCAAATGCTGTGGTAAAATATAATAAATTAAAAGGAAAAAAAAAAAATTTTTTTTCCAGCTTTATAAACAGATTTATAAAACATTTAATGAATTGCATGAATCAAAATGACATCTACCTGTTGCCATTGTTAGTCACCTGAAATTTATTCAGAAAATTCATTTTAACTCTTTTACTGCTCTAGATATAGTCTAGAACAGTGAAAGAGGTAAAATGACTTTACTCATGGGCTATCATATTCATTTTGCTTTAATTTAGTTTGCTGCTTAATACGACTATTTTCACCACATATTACCTATTTTATCGCATTTAAATTGTGTCAAACTGCTTAGCACAAATAAACACATAACCATGAAAAATATGCAGACAGCAAGCACAACATCCCAAAGCATGTTGTGCAGCGAAAAGGTTAAAAAAAATTGAATTCCCTTCTAACAAGGCTGCAAGCAATTACTAATAATAGACTTAAACAGTTGACAGAAGACTCGATTAGTTTAATCTTGTATGAATCAGGAAAATATGAAGACATGGAGGAGTGTTCCATAATAGTTCAGGAAGTAAAACTAGATTAATAAAAGTTTTAAGAACATTAAGGGACAGATACAGAAAAAGGATGCAACTAAAATATTCAAAATCGGCTGTTTGTTTATATTGTTAATATTAGCAATTAAAAAGTAATGGCTTTTAAAGCTGACTTTCATACTTATTTTTACATTGTGTGTTTAGAAAAAAATGATTTTATCTCAAAAATTTTACCAGATACATAATTTGAAGTAAGCTTATGGAGAAGACTAGCATGCTAAACTTTATTAAAAGTTTTAGATATGTCAAGAGCAATAGCCTTGCTTCAATTCCTTCATCTAATGCATGGTAGAATATTTCTGTTATAGCAGTTAGCAAGTCAGCAGTAAGATGAGAAGATCAAAAGCCGTGTTAATTGGCAGAGAGTACTTGATTAAAAATTCAAAGACCTTGCTTATAATTACTAAAATCAGCAAAATTATAAGATTTTGATTTCTCTCTGCATTTTGTCATTTAATTATGCAGGAAGATAACTTCATAGCCATTGCCAGGGCTAAGTATTATAAATTTTTTTTTCCATAGCCAGTGCTAGGAAAAAAAAATTACAATACTTCATATGTTGTAAATTTATGCATACATTTATATAATTTGCATACATTTATATAAATTAAGCATATATTTATGCATATATTTATATAATTTGCCAACCTCAATGTTTTACAGGTCTTCAAAAATTATTTGGTATAAAGGTCTTACCACAAAACATAAAAACAAGGTCAAGTTTTTGCTGATCTCAAAACACTTTCAGGTCGGCAGTTAGGTTGGTATTGGCGAATATATATACATATATATATATATATATATATATATATATATATATATATATATATATATATATATATATATATATACAAATATATATATACAAATATATATATACATATTATATTATACATATTATATATATATATATATATATATGTATATATATATATATATATATATACATATACATGTATATATATATATATATATATATATATATATATATATATATATATATATATATATATATATATATATATATATATATATATATAAATATTTTAAAGAAAATAGTTCTCACAGCAATAGGTGATAGACTTCCAGTTAAGCTATGTACTGCAATAGTGGTAAGTGTTATTGGTAATTCAGAAGGTGATGTTTCTAATTTTGCACTTCCAACTTTTAGTTTCTTTTTCAATTGGATTAAGAGTTGTAGAGGAAGTTGTAAATAAAGGAAGAGAAATGATTATAAAACATACTGGTCACATACTTAAACAAAATTTAGCCTAATAAACTTGTTAAACTTTTTCAATTAAAAGACAAATCAATTTTTTGTCTAGATTTGATAAATGAGGGGAGATGAGGAAAGGAAGGGGAAGCGGGGGAGGAAGGGGGTATTAATTAAAAAGAGGGTAGGAGTTTATATTTCTAAAAGTGAATTTATATTTTCTAATTTTTAAGACCTGAACCGGTCTCAGAAATTAGAAAATAATAATTTTTTTTGGTAATGAAATTTTACTTGTTATAAACTGTTTCTTTGTTCATAATCAGTAAAATCAGGGATTGGATTTCCAAAAAGACTCCAGTTTTATATTTCTTATTTTTCCTGGTGTCTAGAAGCATTATTAAACATCAACTTCTGTGTATTGAGCACTTAAGTTTTACCAACTTTTTTTTCCTTGGATTTTTCATTCTTTAAGTAACAAATTTAAGTAAATTTGACCATGTTTTTTTTGTTTAAGAAAAGACCACTCTCCAATTCTTTGTAACAACTCTAACTAAACTATTTTGGACAACATTTAAAAAAAAAATCAAGCTATGTTAGCATTTTTGTAATTAAACTCGCCCCAGTAAAAAGGTCAAAATTATAGGTGTTATGTTTACTTTTAAATATTTTATGTTGTTTTATTGTATTCCTTACCTCAAAATATGTGTACACATTTTCAGCTTTCTATTGCACACAGAACAGAAACAACGACCAAAACCATTTTTTTTAAATGGTGGATTTTTTTTGGTTCAAGGCAAAGTTTGAATTGTCATATCTTTAAAACCGTTTGGAATGGGTTTTGAGATCTCAGTCAATTTTAGGGTTGTATTAAGTAGGGTGATAATAGAGTTCTAAGAAGAAATATAAAATAAAAAATTTATAGTGATTATTGATTAGTCAGAACCACATAAAGGAAAATAAAGAGTTACTTCAAAGACCACAAATGTTTGTAAAAGATATGTTGAAATAGTTAGGTGTTGATGGTTTTATATGTTTAATATTTTAAGTTACTTTGGTCATGGTTTAAGTTAAAGAGAACTTGACTCAATCATAGATAGAGCATGGCATCCCAAGCAATGAGCTATGTGGCTGAAAAAAACCCTTTTTAAATGAAATAAACTTACATCTAACGATTGTTTAATAAATGCGCACATTTAAAAGTTAAAAAGAAAGATTGTTAACAATTCTTCACAGTAATGTAAACCAAAGAAAAAATAATTAAATTGTTTATTTGAAAAATCGATATAATTTTTTGTTTGTTTGAAGACATTTATTATAAAAACTTAAGTAAAAATTATTTAATTCAAAAGTTATTTAATTCAAAAGGCTTTCAAAAAAGTTTTTTTTTCTTCTCAACAAAATCATTGTTTTTTTCAAAATCAAAATCATTCATTTTTTTGAGTTAATTAACGTTTTTTCGAGTGAATTAAACTTAATTTTTGTATAAAGTTTATTAAAATGACCATTGCTGTTTAAAGTTGTCGCTTATAAAATTAAATAATTTTTTTATACTTTTTACTTTTTTAAATTTTCACTTCCAGCAAGGCTGCAAGCAACCACTATTAGAGTTGGGAGTTTCTGGAAGAAAAAGGCTGAAGTTTATAGAGCAAGATAACGATTAACAGACAAATTAAAAGATTGCAAATTATATGAATCAGGAAAACAATATGAAGAAAGCAAATTCCAAAGAACTTATGTTCGAGGAAAAAAACTAGATAAATAAGAATTTTTGGAGCACTTAGGAGCAGTCAAAGTAAAAAGATGAGACTTAATTGAAAGACAAGTAACACAAGAATGAATTTTAATAGATAGCACACAAGTACTTTTTAGAGCAGTGTCGATTATAGTATGTATAGAAATGAGAAAGAGAAGCAACATTACGACGATGTGATAATGGTTGAAGGTTGGCTGCAAAGCAGGTCCAACAATGTTTAAAATGCATTTTTGCATCTTTTCTAAAAGAGAAAGGACACCATTCGAAGATCTGCCCCAAATAAAGCAACAGGACCATACAAGGATGGATTTGAGATTTATAGAGATAAAGAATAGAATCCTGATTAAGAAAGTGGCAAGCATAATAAAGAGATGCAACCTTAGCAGGTGCTAATTTTGTAATTGATTTAATATGTGGTTTCCAAGAAAAATCGGAAGTAAGAGTTAATAAACCTTCACCTGTTTTTCAAATAAATAAATTTTCTAGATTGAATAACAATAACAATTAAATATATGTTGTAATATATACATAGTAAGTGTAAAAATTTATAAAATATATATGAAACTTTAGGAAGGTAAATTTATATATATATATATATATATATATATATATATATATATATATATATATATATATATATATATATATATATATATATATATATATATATATATATATATATATATATATAATTTTGACTTGCCATTAGTAACTGCATATGTATTCAATTTAAAATATCTGATGAAGAGTTGAATCATAACAGTACCTCAATAGGTGTTTTAAATGCAAAAGAACCTTACACATTGAAGGAAGAACTTTAAGTGTTAGCTTAATTGAAAATAGATTGAAAGTTCTTTTTGCTTGAGATTTATTCATTGAATTAGGATTCATTTTTTGATATTTCATGTTTGCATGAAAAAACACAATGCAAAATTACATTTTCAATGACTATTTAAATGAGTCCTTAAATTCAACTTAAGGGACAAATTTATGCTGTATATTTTCATAGTGGTTTTTATCCCTCTTCATTAAAGTGTCTTTTTTTTTTTTAAAGTTTAAATTTTTTTTATAAAAATCTTTCATCAGCTGTTGTATGCAGTCTGTATATGCTCTTCTATCAGCTGTTGTATGCAGTCTGTATATGCTCTTTCATTAAAGTAATAAGCTTAAAAATTTGTAATCTTTTGTAACCAGATATTAAACAGATATTAATGCATTTAGTATTAAGTTTTTTTGATAGGCATTACATACTGGTACAGCAAATTCAACTTAAGGGACGAATGTAGGCTGTATATGAATTTTTATAGTGGTTTTTATCCCTCCTCATTAAAGTGTATTTTATTTTTTAAAATTGAAAACTTTTTTATAAAAATCTCTGTTTAAATTAAAAATCTTCTCAAGATTTTGTAACTTGATAAAGCAAATTTTAGAGAGTTGTTTTAACCACCCAGAACAAACATAAAACAAATCTTTTTTATTTTAAGTTGTTTTTCTAACAAACTTATCAATATAACTTATATTAACTCATAGAGATTGCCCCACCTGCTGAAACCACCCACCCGCTATAAACCAAATTGAAAGGGATTCAAAACGATTTTTCTGTTTGATTTAGAATAGATTTTTTAAACAATGAAGATTAAGATGGTTGGTAAACAAACTGAAAATATTTATACAAAATATATTTTTTTGATTTTATCTATCAAACTTTGGCTTCAGCTGTCATCTTTCACCTTTTCCTTTACCCTAATCCTCACTTCAATTCCTTTTTTTTTTTAAAGTTATAATAACATAATAATATATTATTTAAATTAAGCTATAAGTATATTATTTAAATTAAATAATGACTTTACATTATTAAAGCTATTAATTTTATGACTTTTATGAAAAAATATTTTTATTTTAGGGTGTTATAAAACTTGATGGTCCAACTGCAGAGGTAGGACTCTTTTAGTTAAGATTATAATGATAATGCAGTTTACAAACTAATAGACATTTTTCAAATGTGTTATAATTTGTTTTCAAAATTAGAAATAAAAAAAAAATAAAAATAAAATGTTTCAATAGTTATAAAGTAAGGTTATATATTATTATTACTATTATTATTATTATTGTTATTATTATTATTTTTACTATTATTATTATTATTATTATTATTTGTTCTTATTATTTGTAGTTGCAGTCACAATAGCAATAGGAATATTAATTATCCAACTTGGCTAAACAATAGCAATAGTAATAGTAATTAAAATAAAAGTAATAAATAAAAATAGTAATAACAATAAAAATAAAAATAGTAATAACAGTAAAAATAATAATAGTAATAACAATTAAAACTGCAAAAAGAAAACCTCGTGGGGTAGAATATGAAAACAAATTCTACTATAAGTAGGTTAACTCACTGTATTATTGGCTTAATGTAAATTGATATTTGTTGTCTTCCTCTTTTTGTCAAAGCAATTTTTAAAACTAGTTTTTGATATACTGTTAATGAGAAATTATTTTCAAGTTAGTACTGCTGTATCCAGTCTGTATACAATATACACTAGTTCTGTATATATATACGCTCTTCTATCAGTTGTTGTATGCAGTCTGTATACACTCTTCCATCAGCTGTTGTATGCAGTCTGTATATGCTCTTCCATCAGCTGTTGTATGCAGTCTGTATATGCTCTTTCATTAAAGTAATAAGCTTAAAAATTTGTAATCTTTTGTAACCAGATATTAAACATGTTTAATGCATTAAGTATTAAGTTTTTTTGATAGGCATTACATACTGGTACAGTAAATTCAACTATATATATATATATATATATATATATATATATATATATATATATATATATATATATATATATATATATATATCCTTATAGTGTAGTCGAAAGAGACTTTTATGGTAAAAAAAGTCTCTTTCGACTACAATTTTTTTATCTTAAGCTGCATTTTATTGTCATCGAAATGTCAAAGCAATTAAATCAATGAGGAAGTACATTAAATTTTATTGTTTTTTAAAAAAACCACAATAATTATGAAAAATTTGTAATCTTTTGTAACCAGGTATTAAACATGTTTAATGCATTAAGTATTAAGTTTATTTGATAGGCATTACATACTGGTACAGTAAATTCAACTTAAGGGACAAATGTAGGCTGTATATGAATTTTCGTAGTAGTTTTTATCCCTCCTCATTAAAGTGTATTATATATATATATATATATATATATATATATATATATATATATATATATATATATATATATATATATATATATATATATATATATATATATATATATATATATATATATATATATATATATATATGTTTGTAAAGCCAAATTAAAAATGAGGAAATCAACTAATTACACCTCTGAATGAGTGAATGAAACTAACAGTTATTTTTGAAATATTTTTATTTAGTAATTATAAATATTTAACTTTTTTTTATAGATAATGGATTTAATATTTTTTTTTATACATCAGTAAAAATAAAATATTTCATTTTTTAGTAAAAATAAAATATTTTATTTTTTAGTAAGAATAAAATAAATTTATTAAATATAAAATCCAAAAACACAATATAAATTTAATTTTTTTTTCCAAATTTTTCATTTATTTATCAAAAATCTTTCATTGAAATTTTTTCCTTGGTAGCAAGAAAAATAGAGCAACATGTTGGTGCTATTTTTACTGGTATTCATTCTCCATATTTTATGCAAATACTAATATGCAAAATGATACTGATATGCATATGATATTCATGTACTGATATGCAAAGAGCTTGTAAACAAGGCATTATATAAGAGCCGCAAATAGCAGAGTCTTTATAATCTTTTTACTCATGGTTTTGACTCTAAGACGTAATAAGTTGTGCACATTAATTACATTCATCTAAATATAAATGTCAGGTCATTGTATTTTCTTTTTCTTACTTGCTTCATTTTTATGAAGCGTTTCAATTTTGCAAGCACTTGGTAATACAACTGGCTTAAAAAAATATATGTGCTTGCAATGTTTCGAAAACTTTTTATTGGGTCACAGATGAAAATATTTTATGAATCAGTTGAGTTTGCAATTTTTGACTATGTTACTGGTATTTAATTAGTAAAACTGTTTTGCAAACAGTTCAAGCTAGTCTTATTTGGCTTCATTTTTTGTGAAGGAAATGATTTTTCTGAAAATCCTCTTGAGGAAAATGCTTTGGAATATATATTTTTCAACTTATTCTGATTCACTCTTAACAAAGACACAATTATCAAGCAACCACTATTAAGTTACGAGTAACAAAGCTGCAAGCAACCACTATTAAGTTATGAGTAACAAAGTTGCAAGCAACCACTATTAAGTTATGAGTAACAAAGCTACAAGCAACCACTATTAAGTTATGAGTAACAAAGCTGCAAGCAACCACTATTAAGTTATGAGTAACAAAGCTACAAGCAACCACTATTAAGTTATGAGTAACAAAGCTGCAAGCAACCACTATTAAGTTATGAGTAACTAGAAAAAAAGAATATAATGAAAGTAAACAGTTGATAGAAGACTTAAAGAGTTGAGGCTGCAAGTCAGGAAAATATGAAGATGAGAGAAAATTCCAAAGGGTTGAAATGCGGGGTAAAAAGTAGAAGAATAAAAGTTTTGCAGGGCATGCAGGGACAGTAAAAGAACAAGTTTTAGGAAGGATAATAAGTTTTTGAACGAAATTTAAATTTTGCTTTATATTAAATATTTAAAGTTTTTGTTAGTACTTATTTATTTGCTAGAGTTTTTAGCAAAAGGTAATACACTTTATATCAAGGAGATAAATTTACTTATATCAAGGAGATAACTTTTTTGGATAATATGTTAGAAATTAAGCAGCTAAAATCAACTTGGTGACTTCTGCTATTAATGTTGTGGTTAGTTACTAATTTCAAATACACAGTTATATCGTTGTCAAGTAACCATAAAAATGTATGCTCCATATTTATATCTATATTTCACATTTGATTGTTAATTATATCATTTTTATATGAAATGAAAATTATTAAATTGACCAAAAACAAGTTGAAGTCAAAAGTCATTTTATCATTCTTGGTTGTTTACTGCGTTTTTTTTTTAATTTTATTTGCAAGTATGTTTATTTTTGTCTTTCATTTTTTAGCAAGAATCTGAGTTTGAAAAGCAGTTACTTCTAAAAAGGGGTTTTCAAATTAAACAAATGGGTACAGACGGAGCTTGTTTGTTTAGAGCTGTAGGTGAGATTAATATGATCAAAATATTTTATTTCAAAATATGCTAAATGTTGTAAATATGCTAAATATGCTAAATGTTGTTTGCAATTTTAATAATACACTAACAAAACAGATCGCAATTGACTAGCACAATAGATTGGGTCAGACTGTTAAAACTCAATAGATTGATATAAATAAAATTGCTTATAAAAAAGTTAAAAGTTGATTAATTTCAAATTCAAAAGTTTATTATGAAAAATCAATTATTTAATTATTATTGAATTTTACGGGAAAAAAGTTTATTTAAATTTGATAATTTTATAAAACTTATAATTAAAAATATATATATATTTTTTTAAATATAATTTTTTTTTTTTTTATTTGTATTTTTCTAGTTTTCACTAAACTCTAGTGATTTTATAGTATTCACAAAGTAATACAAAGTATGTAAAAAATAAAGAAATAAAAATATGTAAAAGCCCTCTCATAATGAGTTATAGCATGAAAGATAAGTTTTTAATTAACTTTTAGTCATGGTTTTGTTCCACTGGTTTGTTGTTGGTAACTATAAAACATCATTGATAAATTTTTTGTTTATGGAGTTGGAAATCTTGTTTCTTTTAATAAAAAAGCAAAAATTATTAGCATATTATTTTAATTAACTTTTAGTCATGGTTTTGTTCCACTGGTTTGTTGTTGGTAACTATAAAACATCATTGATAAATTTTTTGTTTATGGAGTTGGAAATCTCGTTTCTTTTAATAAAAAAGCAAAAATTATTAGCATATTATTCATATCTTTAAAGCATGGAAATGGTTAGTTATGTCAGTTGTCAATCTGTTAACTTGAAAGATTTTATCTTTTCTCCAACATTAAAAAGGTTCAAAAAAAGTTCTTTTCTTTATCAAAACACATTATTTTTTATTCTTGCTCACATTTATTTTTACATATGTTGTTTTCAACTTTTATTTCATAAATATTTACTGAAATTAAAGGTAGTTTTTACTAACAAATTTTAATTATTTTAAATTACATCTTTTGATATTCTGCAATGGTCATGAAAGAAATTAATCTTATGTAACTCCAGTAAAGCATAATATGTCGCATGTAGTCATTAAAACAAATATATCACCATATTAGCAATCATTTCTCTCTTACAGTTAATTTGAATATTACAGTTTTGCCATTGCATCACTTGAACCTTTTGTTGAGCCCTTTGTTACATTAAAAAAAGTCTAGGTCATTAAAAATCTAGTTTTTGTCAAGTACTCTTTTACAGTTTCCTTACGAAAATGTATTATAAAAATCCTGTAAAGTAGCCATTGTATGTCTAAGTATATTTAAAACATACTTTTCATGGCAGATCTAAAGCCATGATTGTTATGGGTAATCTAACAAAGTGTGTTGACTGCAAAAACTAATTTTTGACAGCTTACTCTTTCTCAGGCTCTTTAATGCATATTATTTTTTATTTATTTATTGCCATAGTGGTTTTCAAAATCACCTAAGAAAACCATGTTCAAATAATGACCTTAATAGGTATTAATTCTCTAAGAGTAAAATTTCAAGTTTAATGATTTCGAATCATGATATCCAGACAACCAAAAATGTAGCTATTTTGAATTTTCACTTTGAATATAAAAATCTACCAGAGTAGAAGAAAAATTACAAAGAAATGTTTATGTTGCTAAAGTTAATCAATCTGTTTAAAAATATTTTCACAAATAGGGCCAAATTTTGGGAGTAGAATAACTGTAATAAATGAATATTTTCAAAAAAAATCTTAGCAATAGTAAACTTTCGTTAGCTAAAAATAAATTAAACTTTAATCTTTTCAATAGTAACTCTATTAGATTGCTTTTTACAAAATCTCTGAAATTGAAGACAATTTGATGACATCACAAACCAGAGTTTGCTTGGATTATATATGAAGTAAAGATAAAAAAATGTTCCCTTGCCAGAAAAAAGTATACCAAAAAAATTAACTTAGTATAAATATAACAGAAACAGTTGAATACAAAAACAAGCACTTTACAATGCCGCTAGAAATAATGCCTCTTGTTTTGGTATATACAAATATATATTTGCAAAAATTGGGGAAAACATTGACTTTAATTTTTTTTTCAATTTATACTAACATAGACAAACAAAAATAAATTTATCTTTTTGATGGTAAAAATTTTATTTTTGTTAAAATTTTTTTCTGTATTACCTTGTTTTTTCTTTTTTTTTTTTTCAATTATTTTTTTGATTTTTAATTTATTCAAATACCATTTGCTGACTTTTTTAATTTTTACATTCATTTATCTTTCTTTTTTATTTTTATTTTTTTTTTTATAAACATCTTCACTTTCAACAAGAGTTCAAGTAACTACTATTAGAGTTGGAAGTTACTGGAAGAAAAAAGATAAAGTTAATAAAGCAAGATAATGATTAACATATGAGTTAAAAGTTTGCAAATTATATCAATCAGGAAAATAAGATGAAGGGAATAAATTCCAAAGAACTGATATTCGAGGGAAAAAACTAGACAAATAAGAGTTTTTGGAGCACTTAGGAACAGTCACAGTAAAAGGATGAAACTTGATTGAATGACAAGTAATACAAGATTGAGTTTTAGTAGATGACACAATAGATGCTAGCTCTTTAGAGCAGCTTCCATTAAAGTATTTATAGAAAAGAGAGAAAAAAGCTACACCGTGATGATGTGACAATGGTTGAAAGTCAGCTGCAAGAATAATGCCCTTGTCTAAAAGAGAAAGGGCATCATTCAAAGATCATTTGCAAATTTGGCAATATTATTCTATACGAGGGTGGATTAGAGATAAATAATAGAATCCAGAGTAAGAAATTGGCAAACACGATAATGAGATGCAACCCCAGCAGATGCTAATATTACGATGGATTTGATATATAGTTTCCAAGAAAGATTGGAAATAACCGTTAATCCTAAAAGATGAAGGGTAGATGACTCATTGAGTACATTGCTGTTCATAAATATAGGATAAATATAAGATCTAGATTGATGCAATAACGTTTAGCTCAAAAAAATTGAGTTTTATCTGAGTTATAGTTTACCAGCCACTTAGAGCTCTATGTTGTAGCAGAAGTGAGATCCTTTTCATGCTCAAATGCCCCTTCCAAGCAATCAGAGAATGTTGGCTTCTTATTTAGACAAGAATAAGTGGTAGTATTGCCACTGATCAATGCCACCTTAGATGTGAAAATTTTTGGAAGGTTGTTAATGTTAATTTTAAAAAGTATAGGGCCAAGAATCAAACCTTGAGGAACTCCTGAAGTTACAGGAAATGATGAAGAGTGCTGTGAAAAGTTCTTAGCTAACAATTCAGCTTTGTCTTAAGGTGAGGTAACAAAATTTATGCAAGAGAGCAAGAATAACAGATTTAAAGTACTTTTTGAGATTAAATACAAGATTTCGTGACCGAGAATAGCAGACTTTGGCATTAGGCAAAACCTTTTCACAATGATTTCTACCAATAGTAAACAGACTTCGGTTTCTGAAGAATTGTTTTGGCAATATATATGAAAGTAATGGTTATAATTGGAAATTGCAGCAGCACAATTAGAGGTAAACCATAGAGAAAAGTGAGGCTTGACTCGGAATCGTCAAGAGGGAATAAAAGATTCTATGCCAGCCTGAATCCAAGAAGTTACATACGAAGCATATTTTTCAGCAGAAAGACGAAAGAAATCTACCCAAGGGTCATCGCTAAAAAAATCACCGAAAGAGTCCCAGTCAGCTTCAAGGTAGTTGCAAGAGGTACAATGATAGGATTCAGATGATGAGCAAGAATTAGAAAATAGTTTTAGAGAGATCAAACTTTGATCAGAAGCGCCTAGGGGTGAATGGGGAGAAACTAAGCACTGACTAGGATCAGAAATAAGACATATGTCGAGTAGAGAAGGTAAATATTTAAGACATGTCCAGTAGAGAAGGTAATTCAGATTGTATGGAAAGCGAGTTGAAAAGTTGACTATTTGTGTTAGAGAAAGAAAAAGGCAAAAGTTGTAGGGACCTGCAGAGTCACTGACACTAGACCAAGCCAATCATGTGGTAAGCATTAAAGTCACCAACAATATTATTGGCTAAAGGATAAAGAGAAAGGGGTTGGTCAATTTGACCAGAAATAACATCGAAAAGTGTGCAGTCTTGAGATGAAGGGAAAGAGAAAGGTAATAGAGAATTAAGTGGTGCTAATCAAAAGCACATGAAAGAATAGTCTTTGGATTCAAACCCAATTTCCTGACAAATGGGTGAATTTTTATAAATGTAAATGCCCAGGCCAAGCATGTGAATATTAGATTCTTTATGAATTAAAAGATGATAACCATCAACACTAAGATCACAAATGAGACAACTGAACACAAATTGGTTTTACAAAAAGCCAGTAGGTCTATTGAACTTTGCAAGAGATAAGACTCAACAGAAGAAAAGTTACTTGGGAGACCACAAATGTTAGTGAATGGTAGACTTAGAGAACTTGGTTTTTTGTTTTTTATATTTTTTGATACTTTAGTCATTTTTTAAATTGGTTAAAAAATTTGACTCAAAGCACAGATAGTACTCAGTACACTATCTAATAGTCTAAACATATGCCTCATTACAATATATAATCTCTAAGCCATAACAAAGAGTTCCAAATATGGCCTTGACAATGCACACCAAAAGTACGAACAGAGACACCATCCATGCGCAATATGCCACTGTTAGTACTTTGATATTTATATAGCAGTTGATGGAATCAACCTCTCTGATGCTACCACAGAGTTCAAAAAACCTGACTACCACCCGGCCTCTGAACCATAAAATTGAGTTTTAGGGCTGTACCCTCATTAAGAGATAATAGAATGAGTCTAGTCATAAAAAAATCACTTGCAAAACTCATGCAACGAGTCAAAAAGATCCAGCATTCAACATTCAACAACTATTTCTTTCCTTGTATTTCAATATTTTTATCTTCATTAATTTTTTAAGCTTTTTTTGTTTTTTAAAAATAATTTCTTTCTTTTTTTAGACTTTAAATTTTTTTTTTGGTTTTTTAATTGTAATAAAAATTTATCATTATTATATTTAAAATAATTACTGCATTTAATAAAATAATTTGTTGTTTTTCTTAAAATATATTTTAAAAATAAATAATATGAAAGAAATATATAATTTTAGTAAAATAAATAAAAGTAATAAAATAAATAAAAATGATTGAATAAAAACAAAGTACTTTTATGATATTTTTAGCTGATCAAGTTTATGGAGATCAAGAGATGCACAGTGTTGTAAGAAAACATTGCATTGATTATATGGTGATTATTAATATTATATAAAATCTAAGTTATTGATTTTTTCGGTTTATTTTTTATTGTTTTGTTTCTTTTGTTATTATTATTATTTTTTTTATTTGTTTTTTATTCTTTTATTATATATCTTATTTTTTTATTTTTTTGTCTGTTTTGTTATTTATTATTTATTTTTTTTATTTGTTTGTTATTCTTTTATTATATATCTTAAATAATTTTATGTATTTTCAATAAGCTATATATGTATTATTTTTTTTGTTTTTTTTAATCAGGTTAAAAACAGTGATTTTTTCTCTCAATATGTTACTGAAGATTTTCATACTTATGTTAGAAGAAAAAGAAATGATTCAATTCATGGAAATCATGTGGAAATGCAAGCGCTTAGTGAAATTTATAATCGACCCATCGAGGTTTACCAATATGGATGTGGTTAGTTTTTGTTTTTTTTATAAGTTTATTTGTAAATCATTTTCCTTTCAAATTTTCTTACTTTAAACTTAAAATGTGCAAAGTTATTTTTTAAATAGAGAGATTTTTTTAAATTTCTCTTTATTGAGAAGTTCTATATTTTGAAAAGTCAAAATGTTTTGAAACTATTTTGTTCCATGAAAAAACCTTAGGAAAATAATAAATACCAAAATTAAAGAGAAATTTTTTTTATCAATAGATATAGTTTTTTTTTAATTCAAATAATATTATGTTTTTTATTTAAAAAAGTGGATGTTTTTTCAAATGTTTTATGTATTTACAAACCCATGTTACATTTGGTAATATTTTGGAAAATCATATTAATTAAATTCAATAGTTTTAATTTTTTTTTGTTTCAGAACCAATAAATATTTTTCACAGTCGATCTTCTAATAGTGATGAAAATCCACCACTACGACTCAGTTATCACGGAAGCATACATTATAATTCTGTCATTGATCCATATAATCCAACAGTAGGAGTAGGTCTTGGACTAGCAGGATACAAACCAGGGGTAATATTTTTTTAGTGTTCATTTATTACTAATGTACCTTTTTTTATTGTTTAAAGACATAACTATATAATTTAGATAGCTGTTTATAGTTCTAACAAAGTAGAATAATAGTTATTGTTATTGAAAGTATATATATATATATATATATGTATGTATATATATATATATATATATATATATATATATATATATATATATATATATATATATATATATATATATATATATATATATATATATATATATATATATATATATATATATATATATATATATATATATATATATATATATATATATATATATAGTATTCATTGAGTAGCAGATAAAATCTACATAAGAGAGATGATAGATAGAAAAAATCTATATATTTTTATTTTGATAAAGGAATTGTAGAGAGAGATAATGAAAAAAGGTTGACAAAGTTAAATGAATAAATATAAACTTTTAATAATTTTTTTTTTTTACTTCTAAAGTTTTTTTAATTAGATTTTTAGTTTAAATTTTTTAGATGCATGACCAAAGATTGTTACAAAGTACAATACAAGAATCCGAAGCTCAGCTTTTAGAACAAGTAATGGATAGTTACTTTTATCGAAATTTATAATTTTTATAAATATAAACATTAATATAGTTTAAAAAATTGAGACTTTTTAAAGTATAGTTTTTTTTTTTTTTAATGACACTTTCATTTAAGGAAATGTTACAAGATAAGTTAAAAGCAACTGACTGGGAAGCAACTGATGAACACCTAACTGAAGTTGCTGCTAGAGAATCTTACTTAGAATGGGTCAGAGAAAATCAAAGTAAAGAAAAAAATGTAAGAAAAACACTTCATATTTAAAACAAAAATAAATATTTAAAATATATTAAGTCAAATTAATAAATAAAAGTGACTAAGTTTACTGCTCTGCTGTGCGTATCATGAAGCCACCAGGGTAAATTTTGATTTATTCTGATTTTTTTTAAATTAATAAATTGTTAAAAAAAAATTATTTAAAATTATCATTATTTATTATAATATTAAGTCAAAATTATTATTATTTACTATAATATTAATATTATAAAATTTTGGGTTTAATAAAGTGATTTTAGTTTTTAAAATTTATACTTTTAAGCACCAAAATTAAATTTATACACTAAAAAAAAATAAAAAAATAAAAATAAAAAGTTACATAATTACATAAATTATATTACATAATTTAAAAAATCTTAAAAAATAAATAAATCTTGTGATTATTTAAAATTCTTAAAGCAATCATGAAAACTTATATTTTTGTCAAAATAAAACAAAATGTTTCTTTTGTACATGTTATTTTGTTACCATGAAATGGATTTTATAAACTTATTAAAGTAACTCTTGCAATCCAACTTCAATATTCAAAACTTATTTTGGAGAGAATATGATGTAGACAAAGAGTGTTTCAAATCAAATTTATATGCTTTCACCAGGGGTAAAACAGCAAAATTAAATAATTGGGTTATAAAAATGTTAGCGATGTGCTGCGTACCTGGTTCAGGTATGCAGGGACCCAGGAACCTAATAGTTTGGCTGTTTACCCGGTACCCAGAAATGGCCATTTTGTTGGAGTAGCCAGCACCAATTATCTTAAAAGAAATTTTTAATAAACATTAAGCTGAAATGCTGTAACTATTTATTTAAGTGGTACTTTAAATTGTGTCAAAATATTATTAACAGGATTCCTTTTAGTTTAAACTTCAATCAATAAACTTCTTGATATAAGTCTAAAAGATTTATGGAATCAATAACCGCAAAACTCTATTTACTCAATATAGATGTTTCTCACATAAAATATTTTTTTAAATACATTTTTGCAAAATAGTCTTTTGAAAGAATATATTTCAAAAAGGAAACAAATACCGATAATTTATAATTATTACTAATATTTGAATGGCTTCATTTTATTGTGTAAGAGAATTTTTTCACAAGAGAATTTTTAGTAATTAAATTTTTCAATACTTAATGTTTGTTCTAATGATGCCCTTTCTCTTTTAGACAAGGTGCAAATAGGCATTGTAATCATAGTTGGACCTGCTCTTGCAGCCAACCTTCAACCTCTGTCACATCGTCGTAATCTTGCTTCTCTTTCTCTTTTCTACAAATACTATAATGGGCACTGCTCGAAAGAGCTAGCGTCTTTTGTGCCATCTACTAAAATTCATTCTCGTGTTACTCGTCATTCAATCAAGTCTCATCCTTTTTCTGTTACTGTTCCTAAGTGTTCCAAAAACTCTTATTCGTCTAGTTTTTTTCCTCGAACATCAGTTCTTTGGAATTCACTTCCTTCATCTTGCTTTCCTGATTCATATAATTTGCAATCTTTTAAGTCGTCTGTCAATCGTTATCTTGCTCTCCAATCTTCATCTTTTCTCTTCCAGTAACTTCCAACACTAATTAGTGGTTGCTTGCAGCATTGTTGGAAGCAAAGATAATTAAAAAAAAAAAAAAAAAAAAATCTGAAGTTAATTAAACAATTAAAATAAGACACAACAAATAAGTGTTGGCTTTCTTTTTTATTTGTTTTAAATTTTTTTATTTTATTCACACTATAGTCGAGAAGGTCTACTCTTTTTTTTTTTTTTTTTTTGCAATTCTGCGTCTTTCCTAATCTTTTATTTTCCATAACATAACTTATGATTAGTTATACGTATTAGTAATTATTTAGCGATAAATTACACAAAAATATATATTATATATAATACCACAATTATAAAACAAAAATTAGTTAGCTGGAATCGTATTTTTCAAAGTTGATAGAGTTAATTTTAATTTTAAAGCTCTTGATATTTTTGGCATTAACAATGTCAGATAACAAGTTATTCCAAATATTAACAACCTGAAAGAAAATGCCGGGTCCAAGTCCATCGGACTGGACCCGGCATTTTCTTCTGAGAACCCAGAATTGAGTACTTGGGATAAACTGGTTCAGGCACATCTCTAAAAAAAATATTTCAAAAACTGAGAAAACATTTGATATTGGTGATGTATCTGGGCAGATTAGAGTAAATGACTCTTGTCAACTGCCAAAATGTAAAAAAGCTAAAATCGGTGATGAAATCAACCAGTTATAACTAATTTTGCTGAAAAAGAAGGATGTTTAATTGTAGTTTTTGTAATAAATTAAGTTTATCTTAAACAATCTTTTTGCTAAACATTGAATATATCTTTTGCAACAATTTCCTGCTGAGTCTATTACAAGAATTTAGTGTTGAGTTATCACGTTAATTGATTAAATGTCTTTCTTTATTATGAGTCAGTTGCATACAAACTTTTGAGAAGTGCATATGAGTTTTTTGTGTCAGTTAGTGTGTAAATAGCTTATGTCGTGTGTTTGGTAAAATGGCATTTTCCACAAAAAAATGTCAGTGATTAGGGAGGCTATTTTGCACTGTTATTTTGGGTGCAAGATTGAAAACTAAGGTAAAATCTGGATGTCACATATATGTTGGAATACTTGTGCTTCTAACCACTGGAACTGGATCTATTGAGAAGGGGATTCTATACCTTTTGTTGCTCCTATAATATGGAGAAACTAATCATATTACAGACTGCTATTTTTGCATAATGTCGTTCCTACAGCATAGAATGTCTAAAAATGGACTGTCAACTATCTCAATAATAAAAAGAACTCCCATTCCCGTCCACCAGCAGATTATTCTCTGGAATCTGAAGTTGAAGAATCAGATCATGCTATTTCTAAATCTGACTAATTTGCCCTGAAAATTGCAATAAAGACAAAACTTGGAAAGAGTTTTAATTGTAAGTGAATAAATGCATTTAAATTTTTGACTGGCTTGCTTCATCAAAACATGGTCACTGTGGTCAAACATGGTTTTCAAATGCTTGATGATTTTTGGGGTCATGATTTTAGCTACATAACCACTTGCTTGAGTTTTTGTGTGTCTAGTATCATTCTTAGCACATCATATCATACATAGTGCTTCTTAGAATTTGTTTAGCATTGAAGTGATCTACGGTTAAGATTTTACCTTGCAATTTATTTATCAAATCTCTCCTTTTGCTTGGACACCATTTTGTTCATAACTATTATTACTTATTTAAAACTTGTAAATTTAAATGCAAATTTAATATACAACTTTGATAACTTTTAGAGAATGTAAAATTGATATATAGAGAATTAAATAATATTAAAAATGAATATAAACATAAAAAAAAAAATAGTTTGTCATTTAAAAGTTAAAGTCACATTTTTAGTTATTATTGCAGTGTTGTTGTTATTATTATATATTCAGTAAAAACCTTTTTTTTTTCAAGATTTTTTAAAAATATTTTTAGTCTTTGTTTGTTTTTGGTCATTGTTAGTTGCAGATGTTTCAGAATGTAGTAGAAATCTCAGAAAACTATTGAAATCTATAGCTCTGTATTATGTATATTATTCTATAGCATTTGATCTAAAATGTGGTAACTATTTGGCCATTAAAATTTGATTGGCATAAATTACAAGTCAAACTTAATAGTAAAAAATTGAAATAAAAATCAGAAAGATTAAAATATTAGAATAAAAATAAATTTGAGACCATAACAATTTTTAGATGAGAGTGTGAAAAAAAAGCAAAAGTGTTATGGAGCAAGCAAAAATAAAACGATAAAAAATACATAACGATAAAAAATACATAACGATAAAAAATACATAACGATAAATAAGAACTGAAGTAAAATACAGCAATCATAAGAACTGAAGCAAAATAGTTATACTTTTAATTAAATTATTTAATAATCTCAAAAGTTTGAGATTTTTAAACATCAAAACAATGTAATAGTTTTAGTTTTAAATGTTAAATTTGATTAATTAAAATAAAATAAATTATAATCATAAAATAGATAAAATACAACAGACAAATATTTCATTTAATAAAAGTATTTGAATCACATGCAAAAAAAAAATTATTTTTTTTAAAAAACTTTATTTTTTTTATAAGAAATATAATCTTATTTTATATCACCCAAAACAATTGATAGTTTTTAAAAAAAAATTATATTTCCACTATATGTAAATTATCCAGTTTTTTTAATATGGCAAATAAAAAATTGTACAAATTTAAAAAGTGTAATGCATAAAGTGTTACGGCTACCAAGTTACCAAATTACAAAAATAAAATTTGATTGTCCGTAAGAAAATTTTTCAGCTGATCAGTGTTGATTGGCAACTTTTAAATAATTATTTTCAGAGCTGTAATCAATTACAAAGTAAGTATCTGTTGCCTCTCTCTATTCCACTTCTCCTGATTTCATTCTCTATCTCTATAAATTTCTTATTTATTCTTGTGTGGAATTGGAAACTGCTGTCATATTTAGGGTGGTTTTTTTAATGAGGCGCTTTCACTTTTAGACAAGGTCCAAAAGCGCATTGTAAATGTTGTTGGTCTTCGCTACCAAGCATAAGTCTCTGTCCCATTGTTGTTATATCTCTCTTTCTTTTTTCAAATACTACCGTTGTTGTTACTTAAGCGAGTTATCATCACTTATTCCATTAAAATTTAATCTTGTGTAACTTGTCATTCAGTAAACTTGTATCTTTTTACTGTAACTATTTTTTTATGCTCTAAAAAGATTTTATCTGATATATTTTATTTTTCATCAAACATCAGTGCTTTGGAATACTCTTCTTTCTTCATGTTCTAGTGACTCAACATTTTTTTAAGTTTTCTGTCAACTGCAAAAAAAAAACTTTAGTTGTTTAAGAAATCTTTTTTTTAACAAAATTTTTTTCTTACTAAGTTCACAATTAAGTTTTTTTACTTCATGTAATTCTTGTTTGATGATAAATTTTATTTATTTTAGAAAATATATAAAATTCTATTATAAATAAATAAAATTTTATTTATAATAGAAACATTTTTTATTAATCATATTAATGACATTTTTACTTATAATAAAAATTGATTATTATTATTATTTTTTTTTAGAACGGTGCCTCGAGTTCTACTTGTACTTCATCTCAAATTCGGAATTCGCCAGGACATCGTTCACCAAGTAACGAGAGCAACTCTCGATGTTCGCCTCGTGGCGAAAAGCATATAAATTTATCAATGTTATCAAAAGATAATGAAGCAAATGCTAAAAATAATACTTGTATTTCGCTATCAACTCCAAACGTAGATGATTGGAGCTATGCTTTAGGTTATAGCGAAGGTAATTTTATAAGTATTATTTTTTATACTTCTCCAAATCTTTATTTTTTATTGAAAAATTATTTATTTGTTATTTAAGATTGGGACACTGACCCGGTATTGGCTGCAGTACTTGCGCAATCACAACAGGAGTATTTGCAGGAAATATCGAGATTAAATTCTACTGTAAATAAAGAATGTGACAAATAGTCTACCTTATTTCAACTTCAAGTTATTTTTTTTTCTGTTACCATTCAACGACTTTATATTCTTGTATATTTTCTTTACTTAAAACATAAAAAATGATTTTTTGTAATCTCTCTGTCTATAAATGATTTCAAGATAAAATTCCATATTTAGTAAACAATCGTCGCATTGGGATTTTTATTTGTTAATTTTAATGTCGCGACACGCGAATCGCGACACGCAATATGGACTTTTAAGTATACTGCTAAAGAACAAATACATCCTTTAGTTTTAGAAAAGCAGTCGTGGCATAGTGGTTAGTGTACGGCTTCAATATCACAAGATCGCGTTTCGATTCACTCCCTGGTCTAAATGCGTCTTTAGTGAAGAAGGCATTAAGAAACTTCCTCGTTAAGTTCTTTTTTTTTAATTCTGCAGTGCTTTGTGATAAAATAAACGTTTTATATTTTATATAAGATATATGGTTATTAGGTCCCTTAACACTGTAAAAAAAAAAATTTAATTAAAGTATATTTTTTATTTTTTTATTTTCTCATTAACAAAAAGTTCTATTTTCTTGTGGAAAATTAAAAAACACGAAATGAAATACAAAACTTAGTAAATATAGTGTTGAAAACTACTTAACTAACGACGTTTTCATCTTATAAAATTGATCTTTTTTACTATAAGGAGGTATAAACTATGAATGGCGATGCGTAGGATGACGTATGAATATTGATGCATAGAATAGCCTATAAATAAAGATTTTTATTTTTAACATTTGAACATAAAAATCTAATCGAACAAAATTAATTTAAACAAAAGAAACTTAAAACCTAACCAAAAAAGACTATAGTAGCCTTAAAAATATTTAAAGTATTTTTGATATAAATATGTAATAAATACAAATATGACATTTATTTACTTTGTAAATAAATGTCATATTTGTAACACTGTATACATTTTGCTAACTGTAAAAGGTTTTCTATATTACAAAAATGGTTTAAAACATGAAAAATCACAGAACATTAAGAAAACAATAGCCGTAAGAAATGCTAAATTTTTAGATGTTTTTAACTTACGCTGCTTTTCGGTTTTTAAAGACTTGCATTTAGAAGTTCATTAATAAATGTGGGAAATTTTCGAATTCAAATTTTTCTTAACTCACACTTACAGAAAATCACTTGAGCTGTTAATTATAGTTCAACTTTTTTAATTTTAAATTGTGATTCAACTTTCGATTAATTATGATTCAATTTTTTGTAGCGTTGAAATAACAGTAAAATCATAGAAGATTATTACACTAAAATCATAAAATTTTCCATCTAAAAAGAGACATTTTTTAGAAAGTTAAAAGGGTAAACTTTTTTTAAGCAATGCACAGTAAAGCAAGGCACGCCGGAAGGGCCCAAGGGCAGGGGTGGTAAACCAAAACACAGGGGCGCTTGCCAAAGTATCAACACAATGTTTTACTATGTATAATATCAAATATAAACCTTTTAATTAACCCTACCGTTCTCTAAAAAATACTCAAAAATGTCACATTGTCTACTACTTTTACTATTACGAATCGCGTGTACAGTGCAATTAACACTAAATGTTATAACATGCTATTAAACAGCCTAATAAATGAATCAACTGTTTCTAAGCTACTTTCTAGATGTCAATAGTACATTTCATCCTATGCCATTCTTAGCTTCACAAGGTGCAAGAACGGTTTCAAGTGTATTAACAGAAATAGTTCATTCTACTGTCATTCATTTCAACGAACTGTTTGGCAATTTTTTAAATGTTAATTTTCTCGATTTCTTTTTTGTACATCTGAACAAACATGATGTTGTTGAGGTGATTGCCTCCAGCTTGTGACCAGTGGCGGATTAAGACTTCTTGGAGCCCGGGGCTATTTTTGTTTTTGGAGGCCTTTTTATGGGTCAGAATAAAAAAAAAAAAAAAGTCCTCTAAAATTTTTTGGGGCCCCTAAATTTGCGGGGCCCGGGGCTATAGCCCCTAGCCCCCTTTGATCCGGCACTGCTTGTGACCTAACCCATGTTTTTACTTTCCTCATTACACTAAAGCTTCTTTTACATGATGATGTCGGCAGAGGCATGGCGTAGTAAAGCTTCATTAATTTGTGTGTTTGTTTATTGGTAATTTTTGCAGCTGGGATGGCATTGAAAATATCTGCAATTTTTGCCACTCTGGAAACACTCTGTATTTTGATTGATGCTATAGCATTGTTCAGGTTAATAACTGTTGGTAGCCCCTCAACTTTTAGTTCAAAGATGTCAACATCTTTAAAAAATACCATTCCAAATAAAAACGGTGGGGAATATTGTTTATTCACTGGTGAAATCAAAACTTCTTCTATATTTTTTACAGCTGTTAATCCATCCTGTTTAAATCTCTCACTCAAACTTTTCTAAACAGCATCAATTGCTTCGAAATACGATTTCCTATGTTTTTGCTCTGATTTGACAGAGCCAGTCATTGCACCGCCCGATGTAAGCTTCTCAGTAATTACTGAACCGCGTAATATCTTAGGTATTACTTTTTGTCTCTGCGTAACTTTGGTTTCAGACTCATTGTCTTGTTTGATTCCAGGTATTTTTTTTGTCGCCTTTATAATTCTATTAAATTCCTTATCTGATCTAAATTCTGTAAATCTCTGATACGCATTTCAAATGCAGAATACTGCGGCATCACCTGTCAAATTAATTTCTTGTAACTGCTTCGATATATTTTCTAGAATAGCAAAAAATTCAAAAATGCTTTACAGTTCAAAAAGTGTTTTTACTAATGAAAGCTGAGATAATGAACCTTTAATTTGTGCTCTTGTTTCTGCAACAATAGTCTTGTCACTCTGAAGACTGTTTAATATTGTACGCAATTCTGCAATCTTCTCCAACACCACTTGCACTGTTTTTGTTAATTTAGTCTATCATTGACATAGACTTCAGTCACAATACCCTGCATTCATCTGATTCAGACTCATGCAATATATCCTTTTGGATTTGTTCGAAAAAGTCAACACGCTTTGGATATGCTCCAACAATTGCATAAATAGATAAGACCATGCTGAGAGAATCCTACAGTAGTGATGATACTGCATATGTATCCTTAACAGTTAGCTCGCTGCTGTGTGCCATGCAATCAAAATATTGTGCTTGCTTTCCAAAAATATTTGTCAGTTTTGCTGCCAAGTATTTCATAACTGATGTTCCATCAAAGCCAATTCCGGCAACTTTTGTATATTCCAAGTTGTATCTCAAAAGAATATTTTTAATATATGTCACCAAGACTTCTGAAGAAAGACCGTTGGCACATTCATATACTCCGATAAAATCTTCATTCACTTCATACAGGGCCGGATTAAGACATTTTTAGGCCTGGGGCTGTAAGTATATTTTTTCTTTTGTAAGTATAAAAAACAAAACAACAAATATAAATTGTAGCATGATTTATGTACTATTTAGTTAATCAATTAACTTTAAAATAGTTTTTTATATAATAACTTTTCTGGCCTTTTTTTGAAGCAAACTTTTTGATCACTACTGTGAAATCTCTTGATCATACTAACTATGTCACTTTTAATGCATAATAAAGCCAAATCATTTAAGCGAGGTTGTACCATTGTTGATCTAAGTTCATTCTTAACTCTTTAAAGGACAGAAAAGATCTTTCACCAGTACAGTTTGTGACCATAAGAGACAAATAAGTTCTCAACATCTTCAAAATATGTTTCACATACAAATGAAACATGATCTCTCATATCATCATTGTACGAAAATTGTAGATTTTTAAGAAAACCAAACCTTTTGCTGACTGTATAATATGCATTAACCCTCTGTTTAAGAGCAACTAACAATGGATAAACTATAGACAAAAAACACTGAACTATAAACTTATTAGAAGGGGATAACTCTAGATCTTCTGAGTCACCATAATCCCATCTCTGTTTCCTCTTGCGCTTTCGCCTTGCTTCACCTTTACGCAAATCGGTACCCAGATCCTTTCCTTCCTTTTCAAATGCTGTGAACTGGCTTCAAAGAGAATGAACAAAATCACCCAAAGAACGAAGCAGTTCCGTAGCTGTGTTGAGATCCATGTCTGTCCCTTGTAAGTACTTGCTAGTTAAGTTGAACCTTTTCAGAATTTTTGACCACAATTGAACTAGGATACCTGTTTCATGATGACTCATATCTTTCAATCCTGCCGCTTTAAGTCGTGTTTCTGGTTTTTGAGACATATCTTGACACATGATATCCAGTGTAGACTTCACTTGCGTATAGCCAACATAGAGGGAGTGTACAGCATCATAATGTGCTGACCATTTGGTATCAGATAACCTTTTTAAGGTAGGCATATTAAGTAGCTTTAAAAACGCCAACAAACGATTCCAACAAGAGGTGGAGGCAGAAAAAAATACAAACAGCTTATTTACAAATTCAAAAAATACTGCCTCAGGACAACATCCTATAGCAAATTGACCAACAAGTTAATATGTCATTAAAACCTTTTCAGTGTGCATGCAGTTGCTTTTTTCTTTGATTTAGAAGAGTAAAGACTTTTTTGCATCGTTGTTATTCGTTCATTGTCTGTCTCAGTACCATACTGCAATGTTATACGCTATCTTTATTAGATCAAACCTCATGGCTACTATTTAAACATATTAGGTTCATTGGAGGATAAATGTTTATTAGACCACAGAGTTTTCTAAACCAAATAACCTTTACCATCTGTGACGAAATGGTGGACATGAATGTGACATATTTTGTTACATAACAATTACTTTTCTATAATTGTATGAACTATTAATATTAAATGACTTTGCTTTTTAACTTCATGCTGGAATAAAGATACTGTTTCTAATTGCAAAAAGATGTACATACACTGTTTAAAAAAACAGCAAATCTTTTCTTTTTTGATAAACCAGCCTAGATATTAATGGCATTGTGGACAATATTTATTTTTAATATGTTCAAAATTTATTGATTTTGAATGTCTGTTTCAATAAATATATAACATAAAAGCAATTGATTCAAGTTATTAACTTGTACACTACTATTATAACTGCAAAATGATAACTTTTTTAAGATGTTGATGTCAAGATTTTCAGATTAGTTTTAGATTTGTCTGTTAGATAAAGTAGTGATTTCCGAGTGAGAAGTTAAATCATTAGTATCGCAGACTGTTGATGAAGCAGAAAACTGATTTTCTCTCAAACACATATTTTTAAATATCCTGCAACATCTAACTTTCTTCTTAAATCTTTTTTTCCCATAACAAATAATAAGCATTAAGATCAAGTAAAGTTAAAGACGAGACTTTTCTATAAGTAAAAGTTGTTAACACTCGGTGTAGTTAAGGCGATTTACAAAATATTTGAATACTTTTATTTGGAATTAGCATGGTTTTGTCAGCATATTATACTCAAACAAGATCTTCAAATGCTATAGTTTTTTTTGCTTAAGGTTTTTATAATATTAAAAAAACTTTTCTTTTTTTTATATAATTTTCAAAATCTTTTTACTACCTGTAATAATGTATCTAAAGAACACTATTTTGGAGTCTTTAGATCAATTCCGCTTATCGGCATTAACATGAATTTAGTTAAAATCTTTTAAAAAAGTTCTTTAATTTACTACTGTTCCTATCTAATTGGTTCTGACGTATATTAACTATATATAGTTGTCAAAACACAATATTTATATCAATTTTCACAAAAAATAGTGGAATTCCGACCAAGAAAGAGCTTATAATTATGAAAAATTGCCAATAAACGATCAGAACAGATCATATTGTTAAACTATAATGCTCATTTTACCTAAAAAACGTATTAATTTAAAATCTCATTTAAATTTGGACAAGCATTGTAATTTTAAGATGATTTGTTTTAAAAAAAAAAGATTCCACGGTCTGGATTTTTTCGCTAAAAACATTTATATTTTATGATACCGCAAAATTTATTATTTTAATTTTTTTCGTCTTTTCATAATTAACAGACCAGACCATTTAACGGAAATATGTCGTAGTCAACAAAATATCATACAGATGCTATAATATTTTAAAAGTGCCTTAACTACACCAAGCATGCAAATTGTTTTTGCAAAATCATTACTAATTCTGTTAAGCAAACAGGAAACAGTTACTGGCTCTTATGTTTCATAAATCTAGTATATAATGGCAAAAAACTCTAAATAGCTATTTATTAATATAAAAAATCCGTTGCTAGGGGTGTTGCTTAGGAAAAATTGTAACTTCGTAACAAAACTTACAGTTTTAGAGTATTTTAAATAAAATTTATTATAATGATTTATATATATTTGGAGTGTAGAATGTTTGAAATTTTAGAATTTGTAATTTTTGAAAAAATGATTTTTTTGATTTTTTCTAGTATAGGACCACCTAAATAGAATACTATATCTCTATTAATTTTTTTATTCATAACGCCTCCGAACGCCTCCGAAGCTCCCAATAAATTGATTTAAAAAAATTAGGAAACATGGGAAGAGTTATCTGGTTTCCTAAATAAAAAAAAATAATAAAAAAAAAAGTAATCACTTAAGTTTGTTATATAGTTTTTAAATTGGTTCATTAAACATTAGGTACAGCTTCTCAAAGTGCTAGTTATTTTAAAAGGCGATTTTAAGAAAATTGGATTCTGCGCACGCATCTTTTTAGCACTGTTTTTGGAGTCTTAAGGCAAAATTTTAAATAAGGTTCTGCAATCTTATTTTTAGAAGGACTTGAAATATAAAAATTATTTTTAAAAGATGTGTTAAAAGCTTGTAGACTTTTTTCAGCGTCTTCGTAATGTAGAATATTTTTTAAGGATTGTATGTAATATACTTTTATTTTGACTGAACGTTATATTCTTTATTCAGATTATTTAACGCTTTCAGAGTTTAATTAAAAAAATCGAGTTCTATTTTGGTTTATTTCCAACCTCACATTCTAAGGTTGCACTGCATTCTGAGGTCCTTTTACCTATAAATACTTAAATAAATAAACAATTTTCAAATAAAAGGAAAACATTTAACATTACATAATTTGAAGTTTAAAAAAGTTAGATATTTGATATACTTTCGTTCACATTTTCTTATAAAAAAGAGTATTGTGACTCTTTCTCGCTATTATCTCATTGAATCTCTATCCTCAAATATCGCGATCATTGAATCTCTATCCTCACACATGAGGATGGCGATTGATTATGGCGATTTCTTGCCATAATGCTCATCCGCGGTGCTTTGTGATAAGACTGTAAGGACTTCTTGGGGCATAAAAATAAAATAAAAGTTAACATGTTTTAAAGTTTACCTAGGAATAATACAGAGTTTTAGATAAAAGAACATTAGATTTTGATTTAATATAAAAAAATGTTGGATTTTTTAGCTCTAAAAATTTGAGAAATACATGTTGAAACAGAATTTACCAATTTAATGCAAAGATTAATTGAAGTCTTGTACCAATTGTCTTGAATTGCATCCTTTAGGTCATTTTTGTTGCTTATGTTGTAATTTTTGAGCTTTTGATCAATACATGACCAAATATTTTTGATCGAATTTGCATTTAGTGAAGTGGGTAGCCATTCAAGGAGTCATATATTCTTCGTGGCAAACCTTTTCTTTTTTTTGCTTTGTGACACGGTGTGTTGTCTTGTATAATAAAACAATCTTCAGCTTCATAATCAAAAAGAGTGTCTATATAGTCACCCATCAAAAAGAGTGTCTATATAGAGACCCATTGCATAAATTTTGTTTTAATTTAAAAATTAATGAAAAAACTTTGAAAATTTTTAGGACTTGCTATTTTCAATAATTTACTACGATGCTAGTAGACAAATAAAACATCATACACAACAATGTATCGATGCATTTAATCATTCACACTGTCAAAATTGCTATAAATTTGACCAACATTTTTTTTATATGTTTGTAAAATTGTTCATTTCTAAGGTGAATAATGAACAAAATTTTTAATTTTATGTGCGCATTTTAAATGACTAGCGTAAACACATTTAAAAAATATAAAGCACCTTTCAATTATATAATTAATGCATACACAAATTTTACATGAAAATCTTAATTTAATAGGTTGTGCTATTTTGACCAGTACTTTATAATAGATAATAAAACTTATAAAAAAAAAACTCAAGTTTTAAATCTAACTGGACTGGATCTAAGCTGAAAATAATCTACTAATTTGCAATTTAGCATTAAAATCTTAATTGGCTAATTAAGATTTTTATTTCATTAAGTGCAAAATAATGTAATTTTCAAACTTTTACAATGTTATTGTTGTTAATGCAGATATATTTTATAAATATGATGATATAAATAATTTTAAAATATAAAACATAGAAACTTTAGGACCAACGACACCGGGGGACAGGGGGACATTTGATATGCGTACCAGGGGGACATTTGATACGCGAACGTTTATTTATGAAAAATCTAGGAGAGTGCTGTTACATTGACTAATATAGGGATAACATGCAAGGGAATGCTGCTACATCAACTTAGGGTTTGGGTTGGGACAGGTATTAATCAATCGATGTAGCAGCACTCTCCTACATTTCTCCCTAAATCAGCAATATATCTGGTCTTCGTTTTTTTTGAAAAATCAAAACCTGACTGAAATGTTTTTATTTCAGTAATTAAAAACAACAAACATGGCGGTTTTAAACTGTAGAAGTTTTACGTTTGGACACGTGATTATCAAAGAGTCTTTTACTTTTTTTATTTCAAAATTTTCTTACGCATTTGTAAATATTAAACCTGTTGTAAATGGTCGTATCTTTTCTTTTTTGATTTTCTAAGTGCTTTGATTTCCACCTAATTGTTACAAAATCTTATTATTAGATTACTAAATCAAATTATTGGATTATCAAAAGAGTATAACTTTGATTTTCATGTTTTCAAGCAAATGATATAAGTTAATTAGTAGTAATTGTTTTACTTCTTTGACTTAATTTGTTAAAAAATTGGATTTTTTTATTTCTTTTATTTTGAATGGTGTCCCAGGATAAAACATATTTGACTTAATTGGTTCTGGCATTCTAATTATTGATAAGAACTGATGTTTTAAAAAGTTATTATTTTATTTATACTTATTAGAAAGTAGAGTAAAATAAAAAAAAGTTTGTTTTGTAAAAGTGCAAAATTGTAAGTAATCTTGTTTTGCCAAAGATCTTTATAGATATATTAAAAGGTAATATCACTTCCTCTGTGCAGACTTTTTAATCATTAATTGAATGTTTATTGGCTGAGGTTTTGGCATGGTGATGCAATCTTTTTTTTGACTATTTCAATAATGAAAGAAAAAAGGTTGCTGCCCCTTGCCAAACACTCAGTCGATGTAGCACTTATTTGCAGCAACAGGCTATAAGATAGACGATGTTTAAAAAGTCTCCACTAACAAGAGCGCAATAAGCAAAAATTATTTTGCACTGCAGAATTACCTGTTGAAGATTTCTGTCATTTGAATTCAACATTAAATATGCCATTAAAATCATCTAGTTGATATAAAAACTAGCACCTCTAATGTTTTCTAAACTAAAAAAAATTGTGGAAATCAAAGCACAATAGACTAAAAAAGAGGGTTAACAAAGTAAAATTTTACATATGCATTGTACGTATGTATACATTTGTACAACAAATTTCATTAGCATATAACTCTTAAGTCTTTGAATTAAAGAAGTAATTGAAGTACTGTTAGAGTGCTTCCTTATCTTCGAATCTTTCATTGAGCAAGCTAATGCTCAATGATTACAACAAATAATAATCTGTTAACACTAACTTGGGCAAGTAAGTTAAATGAGGCAATACTTTCCATCCGAGCTACTATATATTTTGATGCATCAATTTTGTAATATGAAGCATTTTCAAAGATAAAGTAAACCTCATCCTAAGTTGAGCACGTTGGTTGATCCTATAATGATGATATTCGACAGAAGCAGTTCAATCTCTGCACGCAATCCACCAAATCAAAAGCAACACCTTTTTGTACTGTAGGTTAACTTTTGGATTTGGTTTGATAGTTTTTTGGTAAAACCAAAGTCACTGGCTCTTACTGTTATGATTTTCATGGAGTATCACTTCTCACCTCTTGTGATAACATGGTCAATCCGATTAAACATACAGTGCAAAAACAATTGATTCTAATCTAGCTGACTAGCATTCAGTTAATGTGGTATGCAAGCTCTGAGATTTGAGTTTTTTCATTTTGTGCAAGGAGTATTTTATAGTACATGAAGATCTCCAAGTTTGCTTTTTATGCAATGTGTAGTTGATCTAGAATTGCTTTCTATTAAATGTTTTGAACTTTCTAAATCTGATTTCATTGGCTTGCTAAATTTGGGTCAATCTAGCTAAACCAATGAAAGTGGATATGGTTTGAGACAATGTTTTGCTATTGCCTCAAACTCTAAACCCTGGCCTATATTCAATTGCATAGATTTTGAATGCCTTTATCTACTGAGTGGCCTAATTGAAACTTATCAAGCAGCACTACATGATCTTAAAAAGTTGTCCATTTTTTGGCAATATGCATAATTTGCTCATTACTTTTTAGCCAATCCAATATATATATATATATATATATATATATATATATATATATATATATATATATATATATATAATATATATATATATATATATATATATATATATATATATATATATATATAAAACCATATAACCATATCCACATTTCTATCGAAAAATTATAGTTTAATAATTTGTACTATCTGCTTACAGATAATTAAATTTTTATTTAACTGCAAAATGGGGAGATGATTTCTTAAGGTAGCCTCACCCTCCCAATCCCCCCTCCTCTGCTGAGGTTAAAATTGGTGTCTTGACTGATTTTTAATTTTTTTTCACCTAAGTTTTACTTAAGGATAAGGAGTTGATTTAAAATAGCATCTTGTTGTGAAAAGCATTTTAAGCCTACTTTAGTTAAGAAAAATTATTTTATTTGAGATTTTAAAAAACATTTAAATTATTGGTAAAAATTTATTGAAAATGAAAAGTTTTGAAAATTTAAAATTGAAAAGAATAATTTATCTATATCTTGGTAATTTTATTAAATGTTTTAAATACTTTTAAAATTTTTGTTCAATATTTTCAAATAGTGTAGTATGTTCAAAATTTAAATAAAGTAATTACACTTAGGGAGCATCCATAAAGTACATACACAGTAAAACTACTGATTTAGGATCCTTCTCTTCCCCCTTGTATATACCTGTATCCATTCAAACCCTCCCCCTGCTTCCTTCTGAGCACATACTGTTAATTATTTCAAAATTAAGTTCCTCCCTACCCAAATGCATAAAATTTTTAAAAACAAAAACTTTTAGTTAATTCTACATTTTTATGTAACAAAACATAATATGAATTTTTTAAACTTAAAAAACTTAAAAGTAAAAGAAATTAAGTTTAATAGAGAGATTTAGATACAGAGACTTTCTTAACTTCCCATTTCCCCTTGTATGAATTTGTATGTTTTTGGGTAACTCCCCTTAAAACTACGTACATACTTTATGGAAAATCCTTTATTAAATATTACGTTTTGTATTAAAATATTAATTTTAAATTTATTATCTATATAAATATGTTATATAGACAATAACTATATGAATAAAAAATATAGGCATTTAATAAAATACTATTATTTTAGTTTTTATTTTATGTAAGTATTAGCAGTTCTGTTCATTTAACATTTACTTATGGTTAATAATTTTTACAGTGCTTCTAAAAAAAAAAAATATGGTAAACTTTAGGGCCATCCATAAATGATGTCAGTCATTTTTCCTAGTTTTTAGACATTCCTCCCCTATGTTAAACTGTCAACTTTTGGCTGTTCCCCCTCAAAAATAATGTCAGTTTTTGGAACCCCCTCTTCTCCCACCTTCTCTAAAATAAAATTAAAAATGCATGTTTACCGTTTATTTTTTAATGGTATTTTTTTTAGTATGAATTATATTTTTGAGCATTTTTTTTTAAAATATGATAATAGATAGCATAAAAAAAAGTCATTTTTTTAACTGACATCAAAAACGATATCAGTTGAAAAAAAAATTTTGTTTTACACTGACATTGTTTTGGTCTCAACATCCCCTTCCCCAGTGTCAATTATCGTCAAATTTTTCAGCACCTTTCCACCTTGCCCTCTTTTCTATTTACTGACATCATTTATGGATAACCCCTTATTGATTAAAAATATATGTATATATAATTAAAATTATTGGGTACATTGTTTTGAATTTTTTTAAACATTTCTAAAACAAACTAAAACCTAATAAAATATTTATTCAGTTTTATTAAGTTATTGTAAATCATTATTTTTATTATTATTAGAGTCAAAAAGAAGGGAAACAACTTTCTGGTAAAGTTTTTGGTTCGTTTTTTTGTTTTCTAATGTAAAATAAAGCGAACTAAAGATCAAAACCAAGCGCATTAACCAAACAAAAGTTTTTAAAATTAAACAAGTTATGGCATGTTCTTTTTAATCCATTTTATTGCCCTGAAAAAAAAACAACTAGTTAACTAAAAAAATAAACTAGCTAAGATTTACAGAAAAATAAGTTATTTACTACTGCATTTAAAAACAAAACATTTTTTTTTTTACTTTTAAAAAAAAACCAAAAAAACAAAAACAAATAATAAACATTTTTTTGGGTGCCCATACCGCTCCAGTGGTACCAAAACGGATCTGGGTTTGTCTCTGCCTATTTGAATGTACCCCACTCGAATGTACCTCACTCAAATGTTCCCTACTAAACTCTACTACCTACAAAACCCTGATATTTTAATTTTCAATGATTTTTAGTTAAACAGTAAGTAATAATTTTTAAATTAAAATTATATTTAATGTCTTTTTAGGTATTTTATAAGGTTTTTTTTCCTTTTATGCTCTGCCTCCTGAAACTTGCTGAAGCTGCATTTAAAAATTTTTATCATCTGCCCCCTGAAACATGATGAAAATTTTTTTAAATTTCCTGAATGTTATATTAGACATTTTAGTTGCTCCACAAAGATGTGTTGAAAGATTTGCAGATTTGAACAGTGATGAAATAAGTGATTTATTCTTGACAACTCAAACTGTTTCTAAAATAGTTCAAAAACATTTCAATGCAACATCAATGACCATTGCAATTCAGGTATTTTTTAATTTTAATTTTTTTTAAACAAGTTCACTTCAAGGCTGTCAGCAACCAGTATTAAAGATAACAATTTCACTTCAAGGCTGTCAGCAACCAGTATTAAAGATAACAAGTTCACTTTTCACTTCTTTAGCAACTTTAAAATAACAGAAAGCAAAGAAAAGATTTTAATAACATGGTTGATGGGAGATAATTTCAAAGCACCGATGTTTAAGGAAAAAAATCTAGACGAATAAATGTTTTTTGAGCATGAATAAACAATTAAAGTAAAAGGATGAGTTGACAAGGGACAAGTAAAGATTGAGTTTTTATTGATAGAACAAGTGATGATAGCTCGCTTAACCAGTGACCAAGGCAATATTTATAGAAAATAGATAGAGATGCAATCTTACTAAAAGAGGATCTTAGACAGAGGCTCAAGGCTGGCTGCTAGAGCATGTCTAACAGCATTGCAATTTTGGACTTTATTTAAAAGGGAGAAAATCTCATTAGAAGAACCAGCCCAAATATAACAACAGTATTATATATTAGGTTATTACATTATTCAACGGTGTTCTTCATTAAGTTGTTAAATCATTAGGTAGTCAGTTTTGTTTTATTGTTATCATTTGCACAAGTGTATTATCATATTTAAATATTATTTTATTGTTATCATTTGTACCAGAGTATTAATATAAGTATTAATAGAATTTTTGTTTATAAGCTGTTGACCTATTTAATTCAATGTAAAAAATGTCTATGGAATAAATGAATAATTAGAGAATGATTTGTTCAAATTATAGTTAAAATTTAAATATTACCTGTAGCTGGTAATTAGGGCATATCAAAAAGGTTTTTTGATATGCCCTAATTAACAGATCCATTTTAAAAAACTATTTTATGTAGTTTTCAGTTTTTTTTTGTACCATTAAACAAAAATAACTTAGATAAAAAGTTTCATTAGAAACAAACTTTTATTTCAGTGTTTATAACTGCCATAAAGCTAAACATAAAGTTTCTTAACATTTCCGATTGTAGTTCTTTTGGTTATACTGTCAGTATATTAATTACTGTTGATCCCTGTTTGAAATAAAGTGTTAAATTTTTGCAAAAAATTAAGAACCAGATTTTCTCTGTTTAGGTTATAGGTTCAGCAGGTTTGTTAAAAATTGACATGAAATTTTAGTATAAGTTTGTTGCATGAAAAAGTTTATTTTTTAATAAAATATATATTGAGTCATCTTTAAGGCTCTCTGTTGATCTTCTTATTTTATTTAAGTTAATTATAAAATTGCAAAAAAAAAAAAAAAAAAAAATGTTTATTTTTAAAAGTATTTAGTAAACATATATACACATGATTTTTTTAATGAAACATTTTTTTTTTAGGATGGACCTGAAGCTGGCCAGACTGTAAAAGTAAGAAAAAGTTAATTTATAAATATAAAATAGAAAAAAAATAAAGTAAGAAAGTTAAATTTATTTAATAAATTAGGTAGTTTTATTATTTTTTTTTTAATTAGGTAGTTTTATTTTTTTCTATTTTTTATTTAATATAAAATAGAAAAAAATAAAACTACCTAATTTTTTTAAACTTTTAATATTTTAGAACATTTTAATATTAAAAATGGGAGATTCCATGTGAAAACATCCAGGACATGCAACCCTAAGTCTCAGATTCTGCTGATTTTTACACGACTTAAAGATTTTAGTAAGTTATGAACATCCTGAAAATTTTATCCTCCAACCAACAAAAATCCGCCATTTTTAAAAATGGTTTTGGTCCTAGTTTCTGTTATATGTGTGTTGGAAAGCTAAATATTTGTACCTTTACATATTTTGGGCCAATGAATCCAATGAAACAACTTAAAATATTTAAAAACAAGCATAACACCTAAAATTTAAACGTTTACCACAATTTTACTGGGGCGAGTCCAATCACAAAAATGTCGATGTAGCTCGATTTTTTTTTTTTTATAAGTTGTCCTGAATAGTTAAGCTATAGTTACTACAAAGATTTGGAAAGTGGTCTTTTCTAAAACAGAAATAAAAATATGGTCAAATCTACTTAAATTTATTGCTTAAAATACAGGTGTTTTGGTTAATTAAACTATACAAAAAGATGTGATAATTTGACAGTTCTGTAGTTGAAACAGTTTTGGCTATATCGAAATGTTTTTTTAGATGTTGTTGAAATGCTGTTTCTGTTTTTTTAGTAGTTTTATGATTTAGAAATGTTTATAAGTTTGTAAAATTAAAGTTAGAATGCTTAATAATTAAGTTAAAATTTCTAATCCTAAACAACCTTGACCCCATGAACACATTGAATGAATCATAGATTTTTCTTGCATCTTTTTTAGAAATAATAATAGTATATTGATAAAATAGAATCTTGTGGGTTTGGAAAAGTTTTAAAAGATGAATGTCACAAAATATGTTTTGTTCGAAAACAAGGATTAAAAAATTTTTGTAATCTAGAAAAGGACTTTCAAGATACTTATATTTGGAGGTCTGGTTTGCTTGAGACTACATCATACGAAGAGATAAAGTCTATTTGTTATCATCATGAGCAGGTTTTTGGACCGATATTTCTACTAAAGAATTTTAAAAAGACACAAAAAGAAGGTTAAAGGTAATATATATATATTTTATGATAATTCACCTCCTCAAGGCCAAGAAGGCCACTACAGACGAGGAGGCTACTTATTTGTGGTTATAACCCTCTCTCGACTCTATAACTCCGAAACAAGAACCTTGACAAATAAGGCAGCTGTACGGAGAAACAAGTTGAGCGCAGTACTACCAGGGATGTGGTGGGGATCGAACTCGGAACCTCTCACTTATGAAGCGAGTGGTCTACCACTACACAACTACTGCACATATATATATAATTATTTATTATATATTAACTTATATATATATATATTATATAAATTAATATAATATAATATAATATAATATATATATATATATATATATATATATATATATATATATATATATATATATATAAATTTAGAAGCAGGGTATGTTTATTAAAAATTAATGATTTTATTTTAGGTCAAACAACCATATCTCTTGAAATGGCTCATAACCTTAAATCCAAAAATCTAGACTGTAAACCATGATCGAAATTTTGTCACTCATGTATTTAGTTTTTGTCAAATCGTGATGAAGTTTCTGATAATGAAATGGATTGTGAAATTGATGGTGATGTATTATTTGTTAAAGATAAATCTTGTAATAAACAACAGTTAGACAACTCTTTAATATCAATTGGAGTCTCACCAATTAAAGTTCATGGTGCCGCAAAGCATCAACGAGTTGTAACAGCAAAAAGAAAATTAGTCAAAGCCTACACAAAAATGGTAGAAGGTGTAGCAAGTGTTTATGGAGTAAATATAGATAACTTAAGTGTATCCTCGACTTTTTCCAGTCATCCTATGGATAAAAAAAAAGCAAATGATCTTGATCTTTTGACAACTTTAATGAAAGAAAAACTTAAAGTTGAACCATTTAAAAAAAAATCCAAATATTAACACTTACACCTGAATCTTGGTCTAGAAAATACGCTTCAGAATATTTTAAAGTTTCTGAACATCTTATATGACGTGTTAGGAAACTTAAAAGTGAAAATGGAATTCTTGCTATACCTGATGAGAAAATAGGTTAAAAAATACCTGACTTTCTTACAGCTTTGGTTCAAGATTTTTTTCAACAAGATGAACATTTTAGAATTATGCCTGGTAAAAAAGATTGTGTTAAAGTTAAAAGTGGTCCTCCACAACAAAAAAGATTATTATTGTGCAACCTTCACGAGCTTTATATTGATTTTAAAAGTAAATAACCTAATTATAAAATAGGATTTTTAAATTTTTCCAGTTTGTGTCCAAAATGGTGTATTAGTGTGGGACCAAATGGTACACACTGTGTATGTGTTTGTATTTACCATCAAAACTCAATATTGCTTGTAAATGCTGTCAATGGAATGTTACATACAAAGATTTAATGTCAAAATTATTATGTGATACAAGCAATAATGAATGCATGGTTCATAGATGTGCCAAATGTCCAGTTTATGATATCTTAAAGGCATTTTTAGATGAGGAATTAATTGAGATTGATGAAGAAGAAGAAATTCAATTCAACCAATGGCAAAGTACTGATAGATCACAATTAATTACTCAATCAGTTAACTTTTTTGAATAAAAAGAACTAGTTGTTTCTCACATTAATCATCTAACTTCACATTCATATATTGCTAAATGCCAAACTCGCTATTTGAAAGAACTAAAAAATAATTAAGGTTACAATGAATGTATTATACAGGCAGATTTTGCAGAGAACTATCAATTTGTTATACAGGATGAAATACAAAGTTATCATTGGAATAAACAACAATGTACGCTTCATCCTGTTGTTATATATTTTAAAGAATTTTCTAAAACAAATATTCAGCATAAGTCATTCTGTTTTTTAAGTGATGATAATGATCATGATACATGCTTTGTGTATGAATTTCAAAAGAAAATTGTAGAGTGCATTAAAGAATATTTAGTTGGTATCAATAAAATTTATTATTTTTCTGATGGATGTTCTGCTTATTATAAAAACTATAAAAACTTTATAAATCTATGCCACCATAAGGAAGATTTCAAGATTACAGCTGAATGGGTATTTTTTGCAACCAGCCATGGAAAATCCACTTGTGATGGCATAGGTGGTATCGTTAAAAGAATAACAGCAAGAGCAAGTTTGCAAAGGGCATTGGAAAACCAACTATTAACAGTTGATGATATGCTTGAGTTTTGCATCACCAATATAAACACAATCATATTTTATAAAATTTCCAAAGAAACAGTTAATGCAAGGAGACAGCAACTAAAGGAGCGATTTAAAACAGGAAAAACTGTTCCAGGTACCAGAAGTTATCATCATTACATACCTATTTCAAAATTTGAAATAAGTTTTAAAAGAACAAGCGAACATCAATGTGTTGACAGATTTATACTGTCAAAAGCAGTAATGTCTGATGTTGTTATTGTACCAAATCTAAATGATTTTGTTACATGCAAGTACAATTCTTTTTGGTGGATAGGCATGGTTACAGAGATAGATATTATTATAAATGATATTCAAATTAAGTTTATGCACCCTTCTCAAAACTTTATTTGGCCACAGAGAGATGATATCTGTTGATTACCATTGTCGAGTTTGATTGCAGTAATCAAAGTCCCAACAACAAAATCAGGGCGAACTTTTAACATTGATGTGAATGATTATAACACAATAACTGATAAATTTTAATTTTTTTGAGTTTTTAATTTTTAAATTTTGTATATTACTTTTGTTTCTTGAACGTCTTTCCGAGTGCTCTATTTGTTTTGGAGTCTTTGTTTTTTAAGTTTATTAAATGAAGTTTGATAAATATGAAACTAATGTTTTATAAGTAATAAATTTAAGTATATTTGAAGATGTTTTTATTTCTGATTTAAGACCGCAATCTGATTCTTTGTAATAACTCTAACTAAATTATTTAACACAACTTCTGAGAAAAAAACTAAATTTGCAATATACATCTGCATTTATATAATTCTCCCCCTTTGAAACTAAACTTTTTCAAGATCAGATTCTAAAAAATTACAAAGAAAACAGAAACAGCTAGTCAACAACAACTAAAAGAACAGTTTGATGTAGCCTAAACTGTTTCAGTTGCAAAACTGTCAAATTACCACATTTTTTTTCTTGTTTAATTTGTCATAATACCTGTTTTTTAAGCAATAAATTTAAGTAGATATGACCATATTTTTATTTCTATTTTAGAAAAGACCACTTTCCAATTCTTTGTAGTAACTATAGCTTAACTATTCAGGACAACTTCTGAAAAAAAAAAAAAAAATCGAGCTACATCGGCATTTTTGTGATTGGACTCGCCCCAGTAAAATTGTGGTAAATGTTCAAATTTTAGGTGTTATGCTTGTTTTTAAACATTTTAAGTTGTTTCGTTGGATTCGTTGGCCCAAAATATGTAAAGGTTCAAATTTTCAGCTTTCCAACACATATATAACAGAAAATAGGACCAAAACCATTTTTAAAAATGGCGGATTTTTGTTGGTTGGAGGCAAACTTAAAATAGCTAAATCTTAGGAACCAATTGAAATTAGACGATAAAATTTTCAGGATGTTCATAATTTAAGTGGTTTAAAAATCAGCAAAATCTGAAACCTACAGTTGCATTTTCAGAAAAAATTGGATGTTTTCACATGGAATCTCCAAAATGTAATTTATAACATTTGAAAATATTTATAAAATTGTAGTTTTACCATACCAAACTTTATACTATAAAATACATTACAATACTTAATACAAATTCAATGAAAAATATTTACAAAACAATAATGTACTTGAGATTTATTTAG